CCAGGGTCCAGTTCGGTTTTGGAACAGCAGGCGCTTGGGCTTCGTATGTCTTTGACTGCCAGTTCGCCAGTTCGCCAGCGCCGACGGACATGCATGTGGTGGTGGTCAACTCCCGGCACAATGTCACATGTCTAGTGCCAACCCATGGATCGCACCTCATGCAGTGCAGCGCAGCGCATATCCCGCGCTGCTCGACGTCTCCACAAACGCCATCCGCACACCTTCTCGCGCTGCAGAGCTGCAGAGCTGCACGAGAGCGCGGATGGGAAACGCAATGGCGTCTGTCTGCGGCAACGACAGCGGCGGCGCCCGACACGAGGCTGGGGCGGATATTCCGCCGGCGATGCGACCGGCAGCACTTCGCTCGCTAATTGCGTGCAGCTGCAGAGGCCCGTGGGATGAAATTGGAGATTGCCTCCTGGTAGTGTCAGTCAGTGGAGCGAACTGGCCATGCACATGGGCCTCGAGCTAGCGCTAGTGATTCGAGGTACTCCATCCCCTTTCGAGACTCCACCCACTTCCCGCGATCTCTCCCGAGTCTTCCCTACCTCTCTCCGTTGCTGTCCTTCTCAGTGACTTCGCTTTGCGCCCCTGCAGAGTGAATAGCTGTCGCTCCTTAGCCGTGTGTCGTCCGTTTGCTGAGCAGCTGCATATTTCGGTAAGCGGCACGACCCTGATCTCGAGCATCTCCGCCCAGAAAAAAATCCTTTCCGCTACGCTCGCCCTTCATTTCCCGCCCCCATTCCGTGCATACTGCCCTCCGCCCGGCCGCCGTCGCTCGCTCACCTGCAATTGGCCATTCCTCTCTAACAAGACGACAGTTGGCTTCTCTCGCCACCACCTCGCCATCTACTCCTCGTCGCCGGCCGCAGCTTCCCTCCCATCCGACCATGGCCTACTACAACGACCCCAACTGGTCCTCGCCGGCCCCCGGCCGCCAGTCGTCCTGGGAACAGCCCCCGCAGCCGCCCTCGCGTTCAGGTACCGGCCACAGTGGCTACAATGGCGGAGGCGCACCGAGTAACATGGACCTAGGATCCAGCTCGACCGTAAACAGCCAGGAGGCCAATGCCTTCGCCTCGCAGTTTGAGGGTACGTCTCAATTGGGTTCCACTGACACCTGTCAGTACCAGGGAAACAAGCATCTAGCGCCCGCCCTCGTGTCAACTCGAACACTCTAATCTTTGTCCGCGGCTAACAACTCGCTGCAGAAGTCGACCGCGCCGCTGAGAACCTCGCTAAGAGCGGGAAGCCCTTCGGCCCTGGATTTCCCCAGACTGGCGCCGGCCGTCGCGAATCGATGCCCATTGCCGGTGGAGGTCCGGCGCCGCGTCCCTTCCCGGAATACGGTACGCAGTCCTGTCTCGTGGCGCACATTTCGCATTTCATATGTCATACTGACCCCAGCTGCAGAGCAACGCATGGGCGGCCCCCAGCGCCACCACTCCGTGAGCGAGTACGACGGCAGCCGCTCCCACTCGGCCTCGAACGCCCAGGGTTTCTACCAGAACCAGCGCTATGCGCCGCGACCCAACGATGCGGACCAGATGGCTCAGGCGAAACGTCGGTTGGCGGCTCAGCGTGAGCGTGAGCTGCGCAACTACCACCAGGAGCAGCAATACCACAGAAGTAAGGACTCGGAATCAGGGCAACAATAGAGGCAGGACAGCAGGTTGACTAGGGTAATACAGATGTTTCGGGCTCCAAATCCGACCGCTCCATGAGCCCCAATACCATGAATGAAGACGAGCGTCGCGAGCTCATAGCGCGCCAACATCGTGCACTGTACGGCGAGAACTCCCAACTGTACAATAACAACCCCACCTCGAGCCAGGACGTGCGAGTCCAGTCATCTGGTGCCGGTCGCGGTGCTTCTCCTCTGGCATTTGACCCCTTTGGCATGCAAGCGCAGAACGGCGGAGAAGCTACCGTCCAAATGCCCCCGCGAGACAAGGATGCTGCGGGTGGAACTCAGGAGGCCCGTGCCAACAGCAACTCGTCTCCTTCTTCTAACCAGAACCCGGCCTTTAGCCTATACGATGCGCAGCAGGCAACTCGCACATCCAACTCATCTCCCGGAGGCTCTCCTCCCATTCCGGGACCCAACAAGTCCAACGGTTCGGGCGTTGCACCCATCGGCACTCGCCCCGCCCAGGGCCTGCAGCAGCCCGCTGGAGCCGCTCTCGGCAAGCGCACGACATCACCTCTGCCGTCGCCTCTTGGCTACAGCTCTTACAACGCGAGCGAGCAGCACAACACTGCCACGAGCTCTGCTTCTTTGAACCCTTCTTCGACGGTTGCTGACAAAGGAGTCGGCATTTGGAACAACGGTCCTTGGAGCAACACGCCCAACCAGGGTGTTCAGGCCTCTGTCTGGGGTTAGAAAACGGAGTTTTGATTTGGGAGTCTCGATGCACATCCGGAGTTTTCGCATTTCAGGTGTCCGGGCATAACGCCTCGGTCTTTGAACAACGGACGGAGCAGGGCATGGGTGGCTGGCGAAAATATTATCCTGGGTCATCGGCCATATGCTGTTACGGCGTGTTTACCTGCATCTCTGGGTTGCTGAAGATCATATAGCTTTCCAACTGTGGTTACAAGGGTGTTTGTCATGTGGGGTCAAGGTTGGCATCGGTTCGTTTTATATGGGGCTGCGGGAGTTTGCAACGTCACTTGTCACGGTCTGGGTCTCTCATCGGAAATCCAGGGGGAGCATGCGTTTAATAGAGCAGCCAATATGGTCTGACTCTACTGATTTTGGGATGCGATACATGGTCCGGCTGGCACAACTTACTGGGTAATGAAAAGTGGTTTCGGGACAATGAGTCTTCGTTGATGATTTGACTTTGAAATGTATGAGACGCTGCCTTGGAACCTCGTTGCACAGCGTGATGTTGCTTCATGCTCACTAGCTCTACCATGCCGGGGTGAAGGGTGGTGCACGTGACACAGTGTAGAGTCTGTGCGCTCTTAGCGAGCTTGAGCCGCGGCGCGCTCTCACCCCAGCTGCTCCAGACCCAGAACCGTGGCCTCTGTGGAAAGGGACATTAACCACCGACTTCGAACGACCCGTATACCTCACCCTTTACTTTCTCACAACACCACACTTGCACATCATCATGGTACGTATACACCTTCCTTTTCAATTCGACACCCACTGGCTGCGCAAGAGAAATATTTGTGGAATGGGAGCATGCGACGGTACTCTCCACGGAACAGGTGTCGCGAACATCAGACTCGCGACCGTCGTCTCTGGCGTCATCGCTTGTCTGCTTTACTCTGTACCTTCGACATGCATCCAATCCATCGCACGACCATTTCTCTCCCGCGATACTCGCGCAATCCTTCCTCGACGTCTTCGAGCCACCATCACCTCCAGCCATGCTAATTCGGCCATGACAGTCTGCACCACGCGCCACATCCCCCACCAACACGCCTTCGGGCTCATCGACTGCGCGTCAAGTCTCTCCCAAGCCTCCCGGTGGCCCTGCGACCGTTATGCGAAGGAAAGCCGCTGCCGACCGTGCTGAGAAGACGGCGAACCAGCGACCAAGCAGCACAAGGGCCGCAGGTGCTGGAGGCAGTTCAAGCACCATGCTGAGTAAGTCATTCCCGACGAGCTTCTACGAGGAAGGACGAGCTGGACACAGTCGGACGCCTGGGATGCAGAAGAATTAGCAGCTAATCTGGTTACACAGGGCTTTACACTGATGAGTCTCCCGGACTCAAGGTCGACCCTGTCGTGGTCATGACCCTGTCCGTTGTCTTCATCTTCAGCGTCGTTGCTCTACACGGTATTTTGACCATCCACAACTTCCAGGAACCTTCAGTCTGACACGTCGCAGTCATTGCCAAGGTCATGCGCCGATTCTCCGCATAGATAGATTAATCGACAATTTTTTCTTTTCTTGGACACCATTCATCACCCTCCTATGGTTGGCGCTCTGCAACAGCGACTCCCATCCTCCGACCTCGCTTATCATCCACATCCTCTTCCGTTGGTACTCGAGACAGGGCATGGGCTTGGAGAGGCTGGAAAAGTACTTATCTGAAGCATCTTGTTCCAAATTTCGTAATGGTGCACAGGGGTGCGTGGGCACGGGATTGCATCTTGCAAGGTGTATTATAGTATCACAATGGCATAGGGAGTTTTGAGCACACTAGAAGAACCGTGTCTTTGGCTTACTAGCTGGGCTAGTGAGTATCTGTTTAGGGCTTGCCCGAGATCGCTTCGAATTCGTCTAGGGACGAGAGGTTGCTGTGTACAAGGTATGGTCATACCCTAGATTCAGCAAGTCGTGGTTTTGCCTTGTCTTCCATCCGCTTCTATACAACTCACCAGACTTGAGCTACAAGCTAGTGCGAGTCATGCAGCTCTAACTGTGCCCCACCACAACAAAGATACGTACGAAAAGAATTACCGCTCGGCAGATCATACAGTACTGACACCGAAAAGCTCAATGGCTGTTCTACTACAGAGGTCCAATTGATCAATTTCTTCTTGGATGACCTCATCGTACTTCCCCTGGTTAATGTGCCTGGAATGTTACTGCGCATAGCAACGAATCGAGCAACTGTGACGCCCCAACTGTAGAAGCCGAGGTTCACCGCAATGGAGAACCTCTTCGGGCCAAGAGACTGCAGCGTAGCAGATTCAAGGGTATGGCTTTGAAATCTCGACCCACCCCAGTTCGTTCTCTATGGTGTATAAAGACTGAAGACACTCCCCCCCACCATCCCTCATATACCCCAACCTACAAAACACAACAGTTACATCACCACCACCCATCATGTCAGGCCAACAAACCCGCCAATGGATCCTCTCCAATCCTCCCCAAAACGACCCCGTCCTCGAGGGCTCTGACGCCACCTTCAAACTCGAAACCGTCACGCTCCCTGCCCCAGGAAAAGACCAAGCCCTCGTCAAAACCCTCTACCTCTCCAACGACCCTGCGCAACGCGGCTGGATCCAAAAGGGCCAGGACCCAGAGCGCCTGTACGTCCCGCCCGTCCAGGCCGGCGAGGTCATGCGCGCCTTTGCCGTCGCCGAAGTCGTAGAGTCCAGCTCCGACAGCTTGAAGAAGGGCCAATTGGTCATGGCACCGACGGGATGGACCGAGTACGCCGTCATGGACGTCAAGGAACTACGACCCGTCCAGGCAGATGAAGCCTCTGGCATCCGCGCTACACATTTCCTCGGTACCCTCGGCGGTACTGGTCTGACCGCATACAACGGCCTCATCGATGTCGCACACGCAACCAAAGACGATGTCGTCGTCGTGTCCGGCGCGGCGGGCGCGACCGGCTCGATTGTCGTGCAACTCGCCAAGAACGTCATCGGGTGCAAGAAGGTTATTGGCATTGCAGGCGGCGCGAAGAAGTGCAAGTGGGTGGAGTCTCTCGGCGCCGATATCTGCGTCGACTACAAATCCCCCTCTTTCAAGGAGGATCTTCTCAAGGCTACCGAGGGCTACGTACAAGTCTACTTCGACAACGTCGGCGGCGAAATCCTTGACTTGATGCTCACGCGCATCGCGCGGCACGGACGCATCGCGGCGTGCGGCAGCGTCGCCACCTACAACGCGCCGGGCTCGCAGGGTTTGAAGAATTGGTTCGAGGTGATTGCGAACAGGATTGAGATTAAGGGGTTCATTGTGATTGATGCGATTGCGGCAGGGAAGGCGGCTGGGTGGGTGGGTGAGTTGGCGAAGGCGGCAAAGGAGGGGAAGATCCAGATGGGAGAGGAGACGGAGACGGTGGTGAAGACAAAGTTTGAGGATGTGCCGAAGACGTGGACGATGTTGTTTGAGGGGGCGAACACGGGGAAGTTGGTTACGGCTATCACGGCTTAGATGTGGGGTTGGATGAATGAATTGAAATGGATGATGAGTCTAGAGTGACATATAGAATTACTTGCATCGTTCCGCTACTTCTGTTCACACGTTCTAAGTATCGGTGTTTACATCGGAATCGTTGTACATACTAACTGACACCAAACCCCAAGATGAGTATATCTTCCGCGGCTTGAATTGGTGCAATGCAAATAAGTGGTACTGATCTCAAGCAACCCATTCAGTATCACTTGCAATTATCTATGAGAAGGTAAACTGTGAGACATGACATTGTCTTCACTGCGGAGTAGAAGGTGCATATTTAGCCCAGCTTATTGAAATTTCAGAATATCTGCATCTCACGAGAACATGCACTTTCTCTAGGTGAGCCAATCTTGGTTCTTCCAAGCTGTTTTCACCAATTCCCCTCACCAGATCCTCCAATGTACTCTTGGAAGGCCTCCAAATTATTCGCAACCTTTTTGAGGTGACTTTTGTTTAAAGGTTCATTCTGAGCGTGAGCTAATTGAATTGCCGTCTTGATCGTGCTGTCCATTTCCCAACCGTTTTGTTCCCACTTTGCCAGAAAAGGAATTCGTTCCAGAAATTTAGCGCTTTGATTGTCCATACCAACATTGAGTCTCTCTATAATGTTCTGCCACGCTTTCTCACGGTCGTTCTGCGACCATCGTTCGAAACGAATGATCAGCCGAATGCGAGGTATGAGGGCCCGATCAAATCGGCCCAGAAGATTCGTAGACAGGATAACTATACCAGTAAAGACGTCGAGTGAGTGAAGAACAGCAGTGACCAACGCGATTTGCTCCTTATCACCTATATCGTCGAAGAGAACTACACAGCCCCACGTATTGCAAAGTTTGGACACAAACTGTAAATGCTCCTTTGCCTTAGGAGCATTAGTGCCAATGTCGCTGTAAGAAATTCGAAATAGCGGCCGCTCAGTCATCTCAGCGATGGCTTCTGCAGTAAAGGTTTTGCCACTTCCTGGGCTGCCATGTAAAAGAATAGTATGCTGCCCGCCACGGACTCCGGAGCTTACTGAAGAACTGGCGTCCGAAATAGGCCATTTGACCACAGCCTCGAGAAGATTCTTCTCTCTTGGGGGCAGTATCACTTGCTTGAAGAGTTCTGCGTTCCATTTTACATCAGAGATGTTAGAGACCAGCAACTGTGACCAGCGTTTATCGAGAAGGTCATATCCATGTATGCTCGCAGGTAGCATGAGCAGGAAGGAATGTTTGGGGATTTCCTCTGACAACGTTGAAGCGGCATCAGGCTCACTTCTCATCGTGTCTTCTTGACCATCAGTTGCACCTAAGCGAATCTGCTTGTACATGGACGTGTCGATCATGAAGCGTCTCTGATGCTGCAATTTCGTTCAGCTTGAGCAAAAGGTAGTGAGATTGCCGACTTACAAGATAGGTGTCTGATCCAACAACTGAACCAGTATATGCGACCAGCCCTTTGTTCCGAAGCTTATAGTACATGCGACCCCTCCTAGTAAGGTGCCCTGTAACGTCATGTTCGGCATATTGGATAGGAATTGCAGGTAAAGCTGTCACGGGTAGTGTTGCTTCGGACTCGAACCTCGAGAGAGCGATCGATAGGCGAGAGTCGACTTGTTTGAAAGTACCGTCAAATCCCCACGTACGAAGTTCTAAAACAATTCTGTCAATTGGACCCCCGCCACTCCCCGTAAGTTGCGTCGAGAGGACTTCATATGCCTGGCAATGATCCAAATCCTTGTTGTTCGACTGAAGCACCACGTCTCCCACACGCTGCACGAGTCAAAAATGTCTTACAGAGATACTAGTACCATTACTCACATAGAGGTAGCCCATGTACTCCCACTGAATGGTCTTCTGGGCGAGGAGAGCATCGACAACCGAGTACTCTTCGGCCATCGACATTGAAACAACATCAAGCAACGCCTCGACAGATTGCCCTCTCTTCAAAGTTGCGTCAGATCCATCCAACTTGAGATTAAGTTCTTCCCTTGAGTCGTAATACCACAAGTAAGGTGCTTGTAATACCGCCTTTGGTCGGAATTGGTTGAGCTGTGCAAGTCTCAAGCTCGTCTTACCAAAGACTTCACGTAGCCCAGTACACAACTCTTGCGACCGCAGATAGATAGAGTCCACTGAACGCTCTAGCTCAGCATTCTTGCCCATCATCTGGTCATGAGAACAGCGGTAATTCTTGAAGACAATGAACGCAAGTTTCTGGTTCTGGGTCACATGTGCTTCCAGATCCGGGATGAGCCTACGACCACATAGGTGCAACGCTCTGGGCTCGCATGCTGGATGTTCGTCGTCCACTTCCACCCACTGAACTATCCCCGTCAATTGAATGGCTGTAGAGAGGTGTATCCAAGAAGATTGAGGTCGGTTCGTGTGCACAGCAGACCTTGTGCATAATTTGATAGCAGATGGGTCTATCGTTGGCTTGGTATAGCTGGCGCTGTTCAGGGCTGACATCTTCCCAGCCGTTCTCGACCGATGTAAGCGAAGGCGAGGGAGATGCGATCGTCACGTTTGACGCTCCCACTTGGATGGGCTCTAGAAATTGATCGCGAAGCTGCCACAATCTGACACTTGCGGCACCGGCTACAGCATCAATTCTTCCCAGCCGCGCTTCTTTCATAGTCTCCAGCGTGGACAGATCTGATATCGACTCAAATTCGATATCGATGTTTCGATGCTATCGTTCCCCGCACGCTGAGCCTCTTTGTCAATGATGGTCGCTTTTCTCGGTCCCTATGAGAACCAGAACGAGGCTATGATTCAATTTTTTTTGGGTTGATTTGCTAGGGTATCGAATACAACGATGAGTTCTGCAAACATCTAAGCTCGGGCTTTATACTTCTTCGTGATTTACGCTCAGTAGACATGGCAAGATTATCCTCGTGTTTCCATGAGTGACGAGCTCGTAAAAACTCTTAGGAAGCCTTGGGATGGGGTCGCATTACGGTCGGTTGGACATGGAGAGGCGAGCGAAGGTAGACAAACACGACGTGGAGTAGATTTTGTGGGCCAACGATTGAATGCCCCCATCCCCGTGAAATGTAAAAGATAGGAAAAGTGAAAACGCTGACAAGTGAGCAAAGCGATGGCACAAGCTCTACATTACTATCCGGACCTGACACATAAAAATGCTCATTCGTTGCACTCTTCTCTATCCAAGGCGAACTTGCTCCTCAACTCACAAAGTTTCCTGCTCAATCACAGCAAGACAATCACAAAACCCAATTGACTTGCGGCTATCTAACAAACCACTCCACCAGCAATTCAATTTGCCAACTATACCGCAAAAACATTCGAGAGACAATCACACCGAAGTAATGTTGAGCCCAATGATCCTATCTGAAACCCCAACGTCTTCCGAGCCTACTCTCATCAGCGACATGTCGAATCTAGCAATAGTTGCCGCGGCCTCGAAGTCCACTATCTCCACAGCAGCATTAGAGCAAGAAGACTCGACTGCTCTCAACTCTCAAGAGACCGTATCAACCCTGCCATCTCCTATTAAGGAAGCCCAAGCTCAAGCTCAAGTCCCTGCAAAGCCCGAACAACTCAACAATGAGGAGACGTCCGAGGAGAGCACCCAAGACACCACGATGCTCGACACCGAGGAGAGTGGCAGCGATCACAGCTCGGACGACGAAATCCCGCACGACGGCGGTTCGAATCTCTGGAAAGCGATCCGCTTGAAGAAGGATGAAGTTGAACGCTACGAAGCTAAGATCGAGGAGGAGTTGAAGGGTGATAAACTTGGTAAAGAGCGACGTCTGAATATGTTGAGGGTCATACTTGCGCAGCAGATAGAAGCCAGGGATGTTTTCTTGAGGAAGCAGGCGGAGGTGGATAGGCAGGGCAGGTATGCTCGTTGGGGGTGGTGAAGATGTCCTTGGAAAGATGTCTTGGGGCTTGAGGTCTGGAGATGATGGATTATGAGATTGAAGGTGCTTTAAACCATGATGGCGGATTTCACGGCTTTGTGGCCGGCCTGTAAAGGAAGTAGATAAATAAAGCTTTGCTCTTGCAAGATACTGCGTTCGTGAATTGGTCTAGGGTTCGAGTCATATGTTGTAGTGTAGCGTATCGAGACATCCAACTCAGTATAGAATTTAATCTGAGACTCCATGTTGACGTCAATCTTATCTTGTCTACTGCTGGTAGATTACCGTAGCTCATGCTCATGATACAGATATTTTACAATGTTGATGTATGCCCAACGTCGTACGCTGACATTGCGTCTCTTGTATATCTCATGCGGCTCTCGTCCTTAGTTGTACACCGTGCCATTTTGCGATCTCCTCCTTGAGCACCTCATTGACAAGCTTATGTTGCTTGATCACCGTCAAGCCTGCGAACTTGGGTGACTCGATCTCAATGGCGTACATGGATCCGCATCCACCGCTTATGTCTTGTACCTGTGGTTATCATGTGTCAGCACATTTCTTCCCCGCAATCGCCTGCTCACTCGCATATGCGCCGAGTGGGGCGTATGAGGTGGTGTTTCGCATGGATCGGTGAGAGCCATGCGAGAGCTCCTATCTCCGATGTTGCAATGCGGGTTTGCATACCTCTAGTTTCACCGGGTCTAGTTCTCCCTTGATCTTATTGAAGACATGTAGTTCTGCCTCGTTCAGATAATCTGGTGCCACTGGCCCAGTTGTTGCTTGTTGTGAATATGATCGAATAGACGTTGCGAGGAAACGGGTATGATGCGGCTGGCTTATTTGGGAAGCACAGATTGAAGCGCTACATTTTGGCCTAGCTACCGATGTAGATATGAGGCGCGCAGCGGGGCGTATATATCGTGTGGGACGCGGTTGTGCAGACGTGGTGATGCGCCGGAGAAGGGCTCTTGATGGTGCCATTGTATGGCTACAAAGACCTATGGATGTGTTGTTAAATTACATCTGTTACAAACCGTCTAGCGTAGTGGCTGCATGGGTATCATCTTACAATGTAGTTGTGTTGTTTACGAAACTCAATGATGCTTGACATTTTGGACATTTCGCATCACGAGCTTCGTCATTGGTCCAAGCTCCTGGCCACACCGAATCACATGATCTGATTACTAACGCACCTGTCGATATCTTTACATCTCCTTGTGATGTGACTTATTCAGGATGTACGATGAGCTCAACAATCTCTCTCTGCGATGCTCTTCACTGCGATCTCAACATATTATGCAAAAGAGCTCATCGCACGCTAACGCTACGTTCGCGCTCTATCGTGCGTTATTCGGAACAGACTGTGGGGTCCTAATATGTACCTACAAGCACGATCAAGTACCTACTGGATCTTCCGCTGCGATGGGAACCGACACAATGTTACTATCAAACTCTCATACGCATATAGATATCACCCGGCAGGTCTTTGGATAACGCCTTCATCCCCGCATGGGGTGAGCACTGTTGCGCTAAACTCAAGGCGGCGCAGATGTCAAACTCTCGCGGACGTCTCACCCCACCGAGGACTGTCGACCATGTTGATTAAAACCAAGACTTGGACCCCTCATTTTGCTCCGTCTGGGCCAGTTCTCCGCAAGACCCTGATCTGCATTTCACATGCTGAGCGGCAAGGGTGGCTGAATCTGCACCCCTCCATGTCGCCATAGCACGTCGTACTAAGATTTCCAAGATTTTTCATACTTTGCTCCAAGATTCGACATGCGCCACGATGACAGAAAGCCACAAGCGTCGACCGCCCGTAGTAGTCATGATCTGCCTCAACGTTTCTCAAAGCGGGCTGTGCGGTCGTCATTTATAGACGAATCCTGCCTGCGGTCCAGATGCGGTGACATTCTTATCGCGAAGATGACGCAGCGGGGTCGCTTTGCTGGTGGAGTGATGTCGCGTTCGTGGCGATCTTGCTCACACCGTGGTTCGCATTGTTGCAGTGAAGAGCAATTGATGTGCGTAAACCTACCAGATACGTTGACTGTCTACTGCAGAGGTTTGCTGTAGAGCCGGTATTTTCGGTGCTACTGTGTAGCTAGGCTATTTACAACCCCAAGATGTTCGATATCACTTCCAGATTAAGACCTGGGTATACAACCAATCAGCGCAACCACGCAAAACATCTACAATATGGGTATAGTAACCACGAAAATGATCACGTTGTTGAAATGCCTGGCCGGGCGTTTTGCACCCAAATTTAGCTCTCGAGTATGGAAGAGTCGACTGGGAGTGACAGATTGATGATGTCGACCACAGTTTGGACGCTGGTATAGTGTTGCTAAGCGGTTCCTGGCGAACTGGATCGAACAGAACAGTCGTATGCAATATGGATCGCAGAAGCCAAGTTCAACATACCGGAGCCGGGCGGCACTTGGGTAAATGTGAGACGCGACAGCAAAGTGTCGTTTTGGGTACAAACGTTTGAGGCGCGCGCTGTGGTTCAACGTCTGCATCCTGGTTGTTGAAGATAGCTATCAAGCATAAGAATCATGCGCATTGTTCTTCTCGTTGGTGCCCTTGCGGCTTTGGCAACTGCGTTCCCGAGACCTCAGGATGACACTCCAGACGATACTCCAGATGAGCCATCGGACGATCCAGCGACAATTTCCTTGGGCTTCCCGACTGCTACCATACCAGTCACCTTGATCACTTCGCTCAATATCCCTGTGACAGAATCCTTCGAAATCGTCAAGCCTACGAAAAGCAAGAGGCCACACTGGGAGCCGATCCCCATCTTCACAAAACAATGCAAGTGCGACGTCGCGACAGTTCGATACCCGTGCTGGGCCACGGATGCCTTACAGGTGAGTCGATATGACAAGGAACAACTTCAGATATAGGATTTGCAAGTGCGAAACGGGAAGTTCGGCGGCACTTTGACAACGTGGGTAGTCATTGACCGAAGGCTAACCTTCCTCTCCAGAAATGCAACTACGAAGAAAACTTCTCATACGGCTGCTACATGGAAGCCGCCGGTGGATGCCCGACGCCAACTAGAGCTGTAAGCATCTTCCTTGAAGTTTGTCTCGAAGGAATAATACTCACAACTACGCAGTGCAGAGATCTCTTCAAACCAACACCCATGACCGGCCGTCATCCTTGCGATTTTGGAGGAAGTCCGCCTCCATTGCCGACACTGTTTCCGAACATCACTACACTGGTACCTATATTGACGACATCGACATGGAATGTGTCGCTGCCGACTGGGAATATCACGGTACCTGTGGTGCCGACTGCAAACGTCACGCTGCCTGTGCTGCCGACTGGAAATGTCACTTTGCCGACTATACTTCCTGTGTAAGATTGGTAAGTAGTCGGGAGGATAGACTAGACCCGGGAGAATCATTTCCATGCTGTAAGGCCGCAAAGAGCTTGTTATTCAGAAGAGCCAAGAAATACATGCATACGAATGGAACATCATGTAAGCCTGTAACAGCCCAAGTACAAGACAATGCCTCTCTATTACGCATATATACCGTCCCTAGCAATACATGTATTCGCTCCCCGTATACCGATAGGCTTCGGTCATCTATGATAAATCTCCATCTCTCGTTAACACCAATCACTCCAGATTCTCCGCGCTTACCTTCGTAGCCCAGAACGTCTATCGGGACCGTCCGACTGCCCTATGGCAATCCAGACTTGCCATACCTAGTACATGCAAGGGGTCCCAATTTTCTCTCCGTGGGGAGGCGCTCGCTACAAGCATCGGGTCCATTGCAGCCTGGAGAGCAGCCACCTCGTCAAGGAGGGGGAACAAGGGTCCACTCTATGCCATGGCGTGAGACGATAATCAGGGTCCACTCTCAACAATTCACATGTGAAGGCGGGCAGATTGTCGGTGCACGATGTGGAGTGCATGAATTCAGGGTGGTGGATAAGAAGAGAGTCTGGGGAACGGTGAGGATGGCGGATCGACTGCTCATCAGCGATGGTAAAGCGGCAACACAATGTGATGGAGAGGTGTGGTATGGCGACCTAGATAGGTGTATTGTCGGAGAGACTCCGATCCCCGTTCAAGGACCCTGATGTTCGTATCCGGTCCGCAAGGTGCTTCATCTCATCGTCTAAGCTCCAAGCTGGACCGGGGCGAAACAGAGCGAAGTCGCTTGCAAGGGAGCTTGAAGCAATCGAGCCATCGAATCCGACTCTAGTGAGGGCCTGCCAGAGTCTCAGGGTGCGATGGCGCTGCGGTGATGCAAATCGCCGAGAGATAGTTGGTGGGAGTGATCGTCGAAACGGTGTCGTGTGCACGCAAGCCCAACAGCCTCAGTCTCCGCATCTTTGCCCCAGATATGCAACCGAAAACTTTCTGCACGTCGTAGCCTTGCATCGGTCTCCCATCCATGACAGAATCTGGACCCCCTCAATCTTTGTAGATGCCGGATCCGTTCACTTAGTCAACCCAACGGCCCGCAAAATAAGCACAGCTCTTTCATTTCTCAACGAACCATGTCTATGCCAATCTTCGGGGTTGTCATATTAGAGAGGTTAGTAAGATCCTGATGTGTAGGCGCCCTGCTCCACTACTGCATGACATTGGTCCTGGTAGGGTCAGTGGATGGGACTGCTGGTGTTTGTTGAGCAATTTGCCGCCCCGACGCCACATCGCCCAACAATGTTTTGTGCTAGGCTCAGATCGTGCATCTCCGCCATGCTCAACGATGCAGGGAATCGTGTTGTGCTGCGAACTTCATCTCCGCTATCGTGAACGCGTTCGTCTCATTTTACGTGCAGAAAGTGCTGTTGCATGATGTTTCTAAAAGTATCGACATGTTGCGCGTAAACGGCGACTAATCTGATGCAGGTATAGCGCCATGTTCGTCCACTTGTTAGTAGATCCGTGCCCCTCAGCTGCCTCGAGATGCAGAACACTGGGCGTTTACGCTGTGCAACGTTTCACAAAGCATTGTCGTCCGGACTGCTAGAGTCGGCATATAATCGCGGGTCGGCCAGATGGAGGAAGTTTTCTCTCCAACGTAGTTGCGATGACAGGTGTTGAGCTGTATGCAGCTGGTCGGTTTCCTGATTGCGACACACCATAACCAGGAGGGCTTGTCTGTTGGGAAAATCCTCCTGCTGCACTCGCCACAACTATTGGAAAACTTTGAACCACCCATCGATTCTGGCATTGCCGTTGACGAAGCGCCGAGGTGGCGCTCACTATGCTGCCCTGGTTTCGCTACACAGGCGGTGGAGTTGTGTCACCGGGATGTTAGTCTCGTGTTTCACTGTTCGCTTACCGTTGTTCGTCTTGGATTTCAAATGGGAACTGGCCATGTTGCGGGTCGGCACTACATGTTCGGGTGTGTTCGCGATAACGATGGCCCAGAACAGACACTGCTACAATCGCTGTGAGGATGGCAGACACACTGCGGTCTCGGTGCTCGTGACTGCACACGCCCAACGCAAAAGCCGCCTTGCATTATACGAAGAGTTGCAATCTAGACGAAGCTTGCTTCGGGTAAACCAGCTGTACACCTCCATGACCGCCGTTACATGCTTGCTTGAGACTGCTTGGTACTAAATGTTATCAATGGAATGCGACAAGGTGCCTGGGGCTATACACAGGGCCTCACTTTCACAATCGAAACCTAGCGACACTGTGTATAAATTCAGGCTATCAGATCAGCAAAGTCCCCGTTTGGTCTTTCTCGTACTTCATGAACCTGCAGTATCACTATCCTTATGAGCGGCTCCAGTAGAAGGAGATGGCTTGCTCCGGGGGTAGCCATCTCTGCGATCTTGTGGGTGTATTTATTATTGCCATCGTATCATCTTACCATGTTGCCCCATTTCGCATGGCTCGAAGCAGGCCACCAGTACACGGGTGCGGCTGTCGCATCTCCCGGACTATGCACTCCGCTGTTATGTATGGAGGCATACCGACATGCTGAGTGATTGTTGAACGAGGAGCTGCATGCAATCTGCAAGCCCTACGTCTAGACGCAGCGGACGAAGCGGAGCAAGACGCCTAGGCTTAGTCTCTTTTCATCATTGGTACATGCTTCTCATTGTTTAATTGTACCCGTCATTGGCTGCTCCTTGTTACAGCACATGATATGAAGGTCTCGCCCGCGGTGAACAATGGGAACACGAGTTTACTGGTGTCGGTGTATTGTGAAGCGTGTGTATATAGGGCTGCATCGTGGCCAGGTCTAAGGCGCCGGTCAATCAGAGGGAAACGCGTGAACAAGGTTCCACTGACCGTGATATCGATCGCGTTCTTTATCGCTGCGCTTGCAAAAATGTACTCCGTAGCACTTTGCATTCATCAACCACTTCTTGATCTACCCCGCATCAGCACTGCGCGACATTTGTCTGACACCAGGGTAGCTGGTAGTAGTTGCGCAGTGTGTTGTCATGATATCGTTTTCTACCCTGATGCTGGGTCCACGGCTTACTGTTCCACGGCATGAGTTCTCGCAAACTCTGGCTCACGAATATCAATTTGATCGAGGACCAAATGTAGGGCCCTCTTCCAAAGCGCACCTAGCTCTGCTGGAGTGGAAACTAATCAAATGGATGCACTTCTAGGCTTGAATGGCAGTAGATGCAGGGCGACTGTGCATGCGTGGAGACCTAGATAGGGCAGACGTAATGCAGGGCAATGTTGGTGTATGCCCTTATCTCGGTGTTAGGCGGCAGTCGTCTCCGACTGGTGGACATGTTTTCCGCACATCATGCGGTTTTCGCATGTGGTCCGACATTTCTGAGCCGTCGTCGTGTATGCAGTTTGGGTGTTGAGGTGGTCGATGCAATCTGGAGCTTGAATGCATACCGCGAAGTGTGAGTGTCAACGATGCGGCCGTGCGTCCAGCTAAAGTGTGGGGAAAGCGTGAACCTTGGGCAGTTGGTGGGCGCAAGTGGCAGTGCTTGTTCAATGGTACTGGCTCCGACAGTTCGGTGGGGCAAGTGCCCACTGCGGAGGATCCGACGGACCACAAAGCACTCGACAAAGATGTGAGCCATCAAATTCGGCGCAGTGCAGCCTGTGAAACCTTCGCAGCGCGTGCGGAGATTTCTTGGAGATAAAGAGTGGCAACGTACCTTCGGTCGTACCACAGGCCATCAGCAACTTTCCGTGTCATTCGAGTACCTACTGCTCGGAACGGGTACCTCTGATCCATCTTCGGAAGGCTAGGTGAACCAATGAGCGAGTTGTTCATGGACAAAGTATGAAATGCCGGTCTGCAGGAATGACAATACGCCATCACAGTAGTTGCAAAATACTCTTACGATGGTAGACTAAGTCCAACATACTTCCAATAGTTGGGGTTGATCATCGATGGCGCGGCGAAGAGACAATTTTCAATTGGCGAGATCAACGGTACCGGCTGCGCGTCAACGCTATCGATGTCAATTGTCACTCTTTCCATGGGGATTATGATAGTTGAGTCTGGGTTTGCGGAACTTGGCCAGTCCGTGGAGTAAGCGATGTCGCAAAGGGAAATCTGCTCGAATTGTCACTCGCGAATCGAAATCGCCATGGTAATATGCATAGGAACGCTAACAATTGCAGTCATCAGACAACAAATCCACAGTCGTGCAGGTAACAAACCTGAAGTTCGATCAAACTTTGTGGTATTCGGCCCATGGACGGGCCTTTGTCGATGTTTTGCTCTTTCCGGTCAATTGAATCTTCGATCGTGAGGCGTGACGCACGGGCGTGTACATCACTCCCACGGACGGCGGCTGCCACGGCACTCATCCCTGCTCAGGCCTCGTTACCCCACGGACGGAGTCCGACTACGTCCGACGATGGTAGAATCTGGCCTGATACGTCTCCAGCCGAGGATTTGTGCGATGACCTTATCAGACATATTAAGTGGAAGCGGTGAGCTATGGTAAGCCAAAAAAGAAACCCCTTCAAACTCGCGACCAAGTTTCTTCGCTCTGGGTGCCAACTCTGCGGCCTTGATGAGTACTATTCACCTGGTCTGTTGCTGCTATTGGGGTCAAGAAGCGAAGGTGACATCATCCATCGTGATGTACGTGCCTTTGCTGCGCTGTACATAGCTCTGTCATCCGTGCTTTGCACCCGAGCGGACGTTTGCCATGGCCAGTGGGTATGCCGATTCGCCATGCATTTTTGACACTCGCGTGATTCCTAATGTCATCTACTTTTGCGCCGAGAATAGGACCAGCGTGGAAGATGGCCACGTTTGCCACGGATGCTGGACAGACCAGCACCTTCCACGTTCGGTCATTGCAACTTGTATCTCGAAAAGTTCTGTGGAATTCCCACTTCCGGGCAAATCCCACAGCTGCCTTGCTTTCGCCAGCTAAAGCGCGCTTTCATACGCGTATGAACCACTAGCTCTGCCGCGCCTTCCTGGACTGAAGTAGCTCCGTGAATTGTAGTGATTCAGTACACTGGCCTGGATACAGACTTGAAGTCATTGGCTAACGACTTCTATGGCCCACACTCGGCCGATGTGTGATGTGCTCACTCCAAATGACGTGCTGGACTGGCAGATGGCCCTTTCTCAAGAGCACCCACAGTATCGACGCCGTAAGGCAAGGCGCATTATCGAAGCCGGGTTTAACGGCCATTCTTCGTAAAAATCCATAATTCGCTGAGGGATGTTCAGAATCCGCAGACGGCAAGGCGTCCCAGCAGCAGCGTTACGATCGACGATAGTGCTCACCGACCTTTGAAAGGAGCGCGCGATGCGGAGGTGCAAAACCTTTGAATTCGCATAGTCGCATCATTTATGAGATGCGGGTCTGCTACGGACAGAGTCTCATCCTCTGATATGTTGCTGCCGCCGAGCTGTTTCCCGTGATTGCAAGAAACGGGAGTCTTTCAGAATATGGTAAGAGTTCCTACGCGGCTGGATCAGTGCCCACTGATGAGAGCTCTGAGATCGTTATTCTGGGTAGGATCGGTCTCGACTGGCGGGCGGGCGGTGAGACGAAGAGGTTTGTCCGCGACGTGCGAGTGGGTCGAGGGCCAATTTCTGCCGGACAAAATTTCGTCTGACCGGCAGCGCAAGGTGGGGCAGGCAATGACTGGGGCCGAGTTGGGGTTAGCGCATTGGGGAACGACAAGTCTGGCCCAGCATGCGGACATCATGACTCGTGATCATGGCAGAGATAAGGCGTTTCACGATGGCGGCAGGGTGAGGATCTCCGTGCAGGATGCTCAGGAGAGAACATGGCATTCTCAATCTCGAGGGGAGACCGGCGAGCGTTTCGGCGCCTTGGCTGCACTGGTCGTCGTATCTGTTGGGAAGAGTGCAGCAACCTCGTTGTTATGTCGGTCTCAACAAGAGAGAGGCGATGTTGATACGAGCAGGAAGGGTGTGGTACTGCATCGAAAGTTTAGTGGTGGGATTCTGTCAGCCCATCTGAGGCTGAAGGCAGCAAATTTCGCTCAGCCACCAGAAGTATCGCTGGCCTCAACGGAGCTGTTGGTCGTCAAAGCCAGGCCGCGACCCATGTCCGGGGCACGGTTCGCATACTTGGTACACGGCAGGCGCGTGCAATTGCGCACTTGGAACGTTCAGCAACTGCATCAGGAGAGCGTTTTCCAGCAGAGCAGGCAGCATGCAAGCAGACCAGGACGCGTTGACACACTCTTGAGTCGTTAGTTGCAGAATAGTCCAGCGGTGGGCTTGATGATAATGCGGGGAAGCTGGTGAAGCGCCTCACGCTGGTGCATGCTGGGTGCAGCAGCCAATGGCTGAGGGTTGTACAAAAGCATGTCCTGCATCCGAGACACGCCGCCCAGGGATCATGGCGTGCCAGCGAGATGGCATCGAGCTGCTTCATCCAGGCAGCCTCGTCGCGCAAGGACGGTCGTCCGACTCTCCACGTCAAGGAAAGTTTGGGGTGCATTGCGCGGGTTGAGCTCGCTGTGGAGTTCGAGGCTGCGTGGGTCGAGCGCAAGCTGTCGAACTGTATTTACGACTCGTTTAGAGGGCACAGGCCCACAGAGCAGGGATCCCGCGAACGATAGCGCACTGCCCTGTGCGGCGTCTCATTGGTGCTAGACCGACCGCCATTTGGAAAGGCGTGTCTGGCGATCTCGTCTGCGTTGAGCAGGTCCAGGACGGGATGGGAGAAGACTTTTCAGGCTGTGGCGGGAGCGGGCGCCTCGGTCGCTTGGATCATCCAGGTACCGTACGCAGCCGCCTCACGATGCGGGCTGCAGTGCAAAGCAAGGAGAATTTGGAAGCCGAGCAAGCACATGTTGGATGGTCGCCGTTTGCAGCGCAACAACGGCGGGCCAGACAATGACATCACGATCGGGGCACGTGCGCGCTGTGTCAGAGCTCACCACAGACCAGACGCCATTTTGGTTGCGTGGCGTGAGCGTCAAGGCGACAAAGCAAGCAAGTATTAAGCTATTAAGCACGGAGAGGCCTGTAATGACAGCAACACGAGCTCGCTGTCCCGCAAATTGCAGCATCGCGAGCGAAGGTGACGACGAGTGAGTTTGCTTGCGCCCCCGCGCTGACTGTCCCGAGCCCCATGTGGGCTTTCGCGTTTGGCGGCCTTCTCCACCGAGCGAGCAAGGCGATGGTTGAGTAATGAACGGGAGAGGAGGTCAGGTTTGCTGCGCAGCGCTGGCCTGCCGTTTCGAGCTGTGGCCGTGCTGGCGAGCAAGCCGTTCCGGGACATTGTTCACACTTTGTCGGCTCGGCTGGTGATAAAGAGCATAAAAGTATGTAAGCTGCAAGCTGCAAGCTGCAAGCTGCAAGCTGCAAGCTGCAAGCTGTCCGTAGCATCGTAGCAGCGTGTACACTGGCGTATCTCGAGGTTCCTCTTTGTCTCCTCCTCGTCTCTCCGCCGTCGGCGCCACTAGCCAGTCGCCGCGCAGCTGTACCCTCTCGCACTACGGCCCTCAGCGTGCCATCGGCGCCGCGCTGCCCTCCGCTGCTATTCCTCCTAGTGCCCTACACAGAACCTGTATTGGTCGCTTGGCTCCATTTTGTGTTGAACTCGCTTGTTCCGTCGACAACAGGGGCCCCGGTCCGGACGTGCGTCGATTTTTAGCACGGTCCTGCGGTCGCGGCCGGTCCTGCACTCTGTTGATCGCCTGCTTCTCAACACATCCCCTCTCCCCATCCCATCTTCTCCACCACTTCTCTAGGCCATTGCCAGCCTTTGCCTCTCTTAAAGACGCCGCAAGCAGTGAATCGAGCACGTTCTGGTTGTTCGACACCACCCAGTCCGGGCTCTTCACTTTTCCTAGCAGCCACCACCCCGGGTCCCTACTTCGCAGGTCCCAGGTCCCATCAAGAGAGCCTCTTCTTCCACGGAAGCCACCGGTCTCACCCACTCCGCAGCCTTTCGCGCCCCGAAAGCTGCACCCCGTTGTCTCGAGTACCCTCAGGTCCGAGTACACTCGACTCGACGTCATTGCAGCTTTGACTAGCTGTGACTATCCGTCGTGCTCTCCACCTATCAGGCCTCCAGCAAGCGCGAGCTTCTCGAGCCGTTCCTTCACCTAATACACCGTAAGTAGACTCGCGATAGCGACCAGTGAATCCCTAGTCCAAGGAATCCAAGATAAGCTCGTGCTCGCCACTGCGCTATCACTCTTCGCTTGCTGGCCCGTCCGCTCGCCCCAAAGTCTGGATCGCTAATATCGGAACCAGACACAACACCCCTTGGCAATTACTTCTAATGCACTCGACGCCCTAAACTTCTTCTTCGACACATTCGACCTGCTTTCTCAACCGCCAGGAAGCCGACCGAATGCCTTACACTCCACCCTCGCAGCGGTCGCCTGCCTCCTCCAAGACTAACAGTCCCGTCTTGACTCGCAACCATTCTTACATCGACCAGAGCCCGCTCTCTCCAGTCTCCTCGCGCCGACCATCGCTGCCGCGATCAGTGTCGTCCACCTCGTACCTCAACAAGCTGCCGCGGTCGTCGACGTCGTCCTCGACCACCACCGCTGACAACACTGCTGCCAATGGTAATGCGGTGAACGGAACCGCAGGCTCGGCGTCCGAGACTAGTCACTCACGAGGTAGTTCTAGCAATGGTAGCATCCGCCAGTCTCCCTCCCCTGTGAACGATCTTCTGATTCCCTCAGGTGCGATCACGACTCCTCCTGATTCCTCTGACGATGAGGACCGGGGACGTGGCATAGGGAGCCTTCGGGAACTTCAAGAGGCGTTGCAGCACATCGACGTCAAGAGGGAGCCTTCCCCGGCTCGCGACGCAAACTTGGAGGCACCCCAGCAGAGGCATCAGCCGCCGAAGACCCTCGCCCGGTCACTATCCGCCGAAGCACGCAAGATTGCTCATTCGAGATCATCGAGCGAGATCACTTTGTCGCAACACCTAATGCACCCCCTCAACACAGACCCCATCATTAGCTCTTCCGATGGCAGCGATGCCGAAGATGACGAGCTGCGGATAAAGCCACCACTACTCCGAAAGAAGTCCGGTGAACTGGTCAAGCCTGCGCTCCGCCCACCGTCCCGTCGCCGACCTTCCAGCATGCCAGGCACGCCGACATACTCGAAGGCCGTGCACTTCAACGAGGACATTGAGCAGGTGCGACACTTCCTCCACTCGGAACGACCCATCGCCGTCAGCGCTGGATCCTCGCCTGTCGAAACTTACGACAGCGAGACCGAGTACCCTTTCGGAGAAGGGCAACGTTCAAAGGCACCCGAGTGGGAGATCAAGCTTACCAACTTCCCTGCAAATGAGACGCACGAGCGTCAAAGTGCCCCTGTCCGTGTAGAGCGAATCTTCCTCGCTTCGGACAACCAGACTTTGGTGGGCAACATTGCCTGCGCCAATATCGCCTTCCAGAAGCTTGTCGTTGCCCGCTTCACATTGGACTACTGGAAGACCACCTCAGAAGTTGTCGCCGAGTTCAATCACGACGTGCGCAAGAAGCAGAAGGAAGATGGCTACGACCGTTTCAACTTCAACATCAAGCTCGCCGACCAAGCAAACCTTGAGTCCAAGACCTTGCTGTTGTGTGTCCGCTACCAGGCCAATGGTCAGGAGTTCTGGGACAACAACAACTCAATGAACTACCAAGTAGACTTCTCGAAGAAGGTCAAGCAGAGGGAAAGCAAGCGCTCCAGCAGCGGTGGTCTTGGTGCCATCCCCCGCAGCAGGCATTCTCCTCTCGCCCCCCGACCGAGGTCAATGCCGCCGTCAGCCGACGATGACTTTGGTCACGAATTCGAGAGCAAGTTCTCCTTTGGAAGTCCACGAGCTGTTGTCTTGTCAGACTCACCTAGTGTGACAATCAAGCTGAAGCCAAAGAGCAAGCGTGTTAGCCTCTTCCCAGATCAGGCGTCGCAACGCTCCCAGGCTAACCAGGCTTTTTCGGCACGCTACGACTTCAGTGCTTCCCTGTCGGCCGCCCTGTCCACTGCGCAGTCGGCTCTCGGTGACAACAGTGGCCTCAAGGTGGACACTTCGGATCAGATTCGCCGTGGTTACTTCGACCGACCGACTTCGGCCACGAAGGCTCAGACCGCTGGCGCACCCATCCCTGGAACTCGACCTGATTCCCTGACATCTGAGAAGCCCGACCTACAGTCTGCAGAGTACAACGAGTTGATCCAGAAGTTTTGTTTTGTACGTTCCCAACCTCAACAGCACCCAGGGCGCATGGTGTAGACAGGAACTAATACGCAACCAGTTCGGCACTCCTTCTGGCAAGACGTCTCCACCCGCAACACCGTCAACTAAGAACAGGCAGACAGACGGAGTCCAGGAGCAAGCGCTGACCAACGGCAGTGGAAGCTATAATTCTTCTGCCACCAGCAGCCCTTCTTCTCCCCCTGAGATGCCTGTTCTTGTTGACGGTGCTAATGACCTAATCTCTTCCCGGAGCCCATCCCCCTTCTTGTCTCGCTCGACCTCCCCAGGTCCCGTGACGGGAACCGGCCCCGAAGATCTCATTGCTTCACAGTACCAGTACGGCTTCAACATGGCTGCTGGTATGTTCAACGAACGAAGCCACACTCCCCAAGCATGTGTTTAAGTTACCACGTAACACTGCCAGGAGGATTATCCTTACGCATAACGAATCTCCTTGGACACGAAGACCTTTACGGCCTGCCTGACTACGATGAGTGGAGCGGACGTCACTAGTCTTCTGGCGACCGATCGCTCACGAATCTGCTTCACTACGGCACGAATTGTTGTTGTGCGCCTAGTGGTTGATGATGCATGTTACCTGCGACGTATCTTACCTGGCGCGCTACCTTTTCAGCATACTCAGGACGGCTGTTTGCTGCATTTTCCCGTCCTTTTTTTCTTGCATGTCTTTTGTACCCGGTGTGCTCTCCGGTGATTGCATGGCGTTCTCTGGGTTCCTATTATCTCTACCCGTCGTTTTCACCGACCATCGACTGGTCGTGGTGCTTCTGCTTTCGAGCAGCTCTACTCTGGTCTCGGCGTTTAATCCGGTCGCTTCCGACTCCTGGGATAGCGAAAAGTGTTTGTTCTGGATGCATTTTATAGCGGTTCCATTATTTTTGATCGACTCGTCGGCTGCGTCGTAAATAGGTGCTAGGCAGGGATGATGAATGCGAGTTATTACTCTCCAACCGAAATTGTGTGTCGATAATGTGTGTGTCTTGCCGTGTGTCTCGTGCCTTCAACACTGGTATCTGTTTCTGCAATAGCAGTGAAAATCGAAGCGTCTTGTGCGAAGGGCGCAGTGAACTCTAAGGAGCAGCCGGCCCTATATAACGTACCAAATGACAAAGACACTACAAGCTCATCTTACTGCCCCACCATGCATGTACCTCGTGAGCGCTTTTTACCGCCAATTGAGCAAAGTGAAGCCGAAGCGGTCTGGATCGTGACATCTTGGCACCATGTGACTCTGTTCTGCCACCCTGCAAAGGCCCGGGCACCGCTCACCGCCTGCCACTTCCCGCCATCTTGACTCGGCTCTAACCCAACGATTGGACCCTGAGCTTCTCTCGCGTGTGCTTCTCCAACCTTCAATCCGCTTGCACGCGCTTCTCTTTTCACGATACTTCGCTTCGGCTCAAGCGGCCTCGGTTGTAGTCGACACAGACACGTGTCTGTCATCCCGCAATGGCTTCGTTCTTCGGTAGCAAGAAGGTTGCACCACCACCTGTCATCCCGCCGCCTCCGACGCCTCGCTCGGGACCGACCATCGATGCCACGACTGTAATATCGTTGCTTGCTGTGCTTGCACTCCTCGCAGGAGCATATGCAGCCTCGATTAAAGTTCTTCCCAAGACCAGTTCGCTGAAAATTCGCATCCTGTTTGTGTGGCACTTATTCGACGCGCTGATCCACTTCGTCTTCGAAGGCTCGTTTCTCTGGAATTGTTTCTTCGTCTCGTATTCCCTTCCCACATCCTTCACCCACGCGTCCATCAAGCAGCACCAGATTACCTTCTTCACGCCGCCGGATGTGTATTGGTTGGGGAAAGAGGATAAGTTGTTCGGTGCGAATTATGGTACCACGCCGTTCTCGCGGCTGTGGCAGGAGTATGCGAAGGCGGATAAGCGGTGGGGAGGCGTGGACCTGACGGTCGTGAGTCTGGAGCTGTTGACGGTGTTTGTGGCGGGCCCGTTGGCGTGCTGGATCTGCTATCTGCTGAGCAGGGAGGAACGGAAGGGCATGTTGAAGAAGTGGTTTTGGATGACGATTCTGGCGACGGGGGAGATATACGGAGGTGAGTCATTATACACTTCTTTTTCTGATATTGGACATGCCACGCTGTTATGGTGTTTCAGATGGCCTTCGGTGAGGCGGATGTGGGTCTGTGTTGAGTTGGGATGAATGCGTGTGGTGCGAGTATAAGGCTGACACGTGGTTCACCGCATCTTAGGCTGGATGACTTTTGCTCCTGAGTGGTTGACTGGAAGCCCCAATCTCGACACATCGAATTGGATGTATCTGTAAGTTTGCACATCTCATTCGTCCACGATCGCCCCGTCTGCCGCTTCCCGTCCGCCTTCACACCATATCTCATCTTAGGGGATTATCGGAAGCCCTCCGACTGGCTGTTTCCCGCTTCTTCACATGTTCATCTCAACATTCTCGCTCGCTGTTCCTGATCTCGATGCGTTGTCCCTGCAGATGCGCTGGCGGCCCGTCCGCGGACCCACTTTTCATAAATTTGAACACACCGCCAAAAGCCCACCACACCCAGGAATGTCGAACACTGCTAACACGGCGTCAGGTGGCTCTATCTTGCATTCTTCAATGGGCTCTGGGTTGTCTTCCCGCTCTGGATCTTGTGGGAAGCCTACCGAGCTATGAGCCAGGCGATGAGTCAGGCGGAAATGGTGGATTTGGTCAACTATCTGAAAAAGGAAGATTGATCAACTCTCAACGACGTCACAGCTGGGTAATCTAGTCTTTGCATGTTCCGAGTCCTGGGAAAAGCGAGTTTGATAGCAATGTAGCCAATGTCATACACAAACAAAATGCCAATCCAGTTTTGCTTCCGGTACCCTATCCATCGCTACACCCGTGCCTCCCTTTGCCAGTTCTTTCGTGTATAGTCGCAACCACACTGCATCAGCATTGCACCTCTCCATCGCTCTTTTCACTTCCTCCCTTTCCAACACCGGATCCATCATGTCCAAAACCGAATCGAATCGTTCGTCGCGAATGGTCACATGCTCAACAACCACACACATCAAGCCCACAAGGCTGTTCCAGATCATTTTCGTCGGTGCGTCGACGTACATTTCCGGCCGGTAAGCACTTGGCGTAGAAACAGATAGGCCCTTCATGCCCGTGTCAAGACCAGTAAGTAGTGATTGAGTACCACCGCGCCGATCCTCGCGCTGCTTTGTTCGACGGTGTATCCTTCCGAAGACGTCCCATGCGTCCTCGATGCGGGTCCGCATGAAGTCGCCAGCATGCTCGCACATGAGTGCTACAATGTCTAGCGCGTTGGAGACGACAAATGCTTCCGGGTCTTGTAGGCGCGGCAACAACACGGGCCAGAGCGTGTTGATAAGCGGTAGGAATGAGTTTTCATGCTTGGCGAGGGCAGGAATGGTGGTGCGGAGGAGTGATAGAAGGGATGTGCGTAGAGCGGAGGATGGGGTTGTGAGGTAGTGCTGTGTGAGTGACGAGATGCGGAGGAGGAGGTCGTATGTTCGAGGAGCGGGTGAAGGAGGCTCGGCAGTATCTGCTTCGTTGGATTGTTCGGATTCGTCTTGAGGGTGTGCTTCTGGTGCAGTATCTGATTTCCACGGTTCTTCCGGAAATGGTATGTCCACGTCTTTTTGATCTTCTTCTTTTCGCTTGAGTGCATCATCGTCTAGTCTTTTCACTGCTGCAATGACGTCCGCCATGGTAATCGGTGATATGTGATGCGACGCCATTTGCTTTGCATCGCTCTCTGTGATAGCTAACAGGGGTGCTTTCACACCTTCCTCTGTGATGCCTTTCAAGACCGAAAAAAGGAGTTCGGTCAATTTGGGATAGCCATGGTATCTTTCGAGCGCATCAAAAATACTTCCAACGAGATCGTCCAAGTACGGTAAGAGTGATGGACCGCAAAGTCGCATCATCATCAAGAGGACTTGGGGAACCTGTGGCGAGACGTCTCCGACTGCCAGCTTCAAGCCCACCGCATTGACGATGTAGTCGACATTTGCGACCACAAGCTCGCCAGCATTAGAGTAGCCACATTCCACAGAAAGTATATTGAGGCATATCAAAGCATGCTGTCGCAGTGCCTCATTCGAACTGCCCATGTGATGCAAGACTGGATACAGAACCTCACTCAACTCGCCACGAAACTCGGTCTTATACCGCGATGCTTGCAGAGCTACCGTTTCTAGTGCGAGTGCATAGGAATGCCATGACACAACATCTAAAAGGTCTTCTTGTGCAAGCATCGTGACTGAGTGGGAGTAAAGGCTGTCTTGCAACTCTTCGCGCTGGTTAGGCGTTCCCATATCGATGAAGTCGTCGAATGCCGAGTTCGTTCTTGCCATGTCCTTGAGAAGGTTCACTGCAGCCCAATAGCTGGCGAGTCGAACTTCCTGAGACCCCATGTCGATTTTTCGGATAAGTTCTTGCAGTACAGTCGCTGCTGAATTTGATCTTGCGAGCTCGTGGAGTAGTAACTGAAACTCGGTCAAAATGACTTCCTGGCCTTTCAGTCGCAGCTTCAGCGGCTCGAATCTTAGTGTGCTGGAAGATCCCAGCAGTATTACTTGGTCAGTACGCTTGGTGTGATGCACATCGAGTTCTTCGAGACCCTTCGAATCACCCAACACTGTGGAAATACTATCGCGCAGACCATCGGCCAATCTTTCGTCAATCAATGCCGCGTCTCGGTCGAAAAGGCGTAGCGTTACCGAGACCTGGTGTATAATCTGAAGCCTAGCCTGGTCATCCTTTGATTGCATCAGCCGTGGAAGGGCCACGACCCATCCATGAAGGCTTTCCCGCAAGACATATCCGAGCTGCTCGTCGGCAGCAAGTAGCGTCTTTAGCTCGATTTCAATCATGTCCTGCTCCCCGTCCCGTCCAACTAGACTAATCGCGGTTTCAATGGCCATTGCAGTACAGTCAGACAGCGAGCTACGGCACTCTTGCACAACGTCAAGACATAGCCGTAATAGAGCCCGTCGTACTTCAGATTTGTCGTGGTTTCGCAGCTTGAACACGTTGGCAAGCGCAACCTTGATTTGGGATGCGGTAGCTTGAACCCACGAAGTCGTCCGAAACACCTTGTTTGCATCAGATTCCTCCTCGGCAGCAACGGCAGTAGGCAGATTATTGGTCTTTCTGTCACTAAGCAAGCGTTTCAGTATCAAAGAAAGCAGATCAAGACTTTGCTCGACTACTCGAAAGCCAGGCCGATTGCTGCTGCTCGGCGTCAACACCTTGGTGAGAGATGATACTAGTCTTGGAAGAAAGCTGGCGAGGGCATCATCATCGGTTATGGCGCTGAGCGAAGCCTTTAGTGCATCTGTAGCTTGGAGCTTAGTACTGTTTGACTTGGCGTCCGTGAGTGCGTCGAGCATCACAAGGACTGCCTCTCCTAAAGCAGGTATGTTGGACGTTGATGTCATTGCTTCTTTGCCTTTGCCCGTGCGTGAAGCGTCGGTCATGAGATCGGTCATGCATTTCAAAGCCAGTGTTTGTAGCTCTTCTGAGGTCGAAGCGATACCATTTTCGGCAGAAGACGGCTTGGTCAGGAATGTGAAGAGGATGAGAAACTGGCCAGCCAGAGCAGGCTCGAGACCCCCTCCCCATCCTGCGCGGAGAAGGACTGATATACACTCCAAGCACAATTCAAGGGCTCGGACTGGGACTTGGCGGGAAAGCCTGAGTACCTGGGAGATTGGGACAAAGGCATACTCTGTAAGCTTCTGGTCAAGTGCAACTGGTTTGGAAGTGATGGTCCGAAGCGTGTCAAGCAGATTGGTGAGAGCCGTGACTAGATGCTTTCTGGATTCCGGGCTTTGCGCTAGTGAAGCAGTGACAGAAAGAAGTTGAATACACGGTTGCTTCAACTATGGCAGGTTAGCTAGATGAGATGGAACGAGCAAAGAGTCTGCCTACGCGTTGGAAAGCGTGTTGTCTTTCCATGCTGCAGCTGTGCGGTGTTACGGGGTGCGAGAGGAGAGGTTGCCGGCGTTGCGAGGCGGGATGCGCGAGGCTCGCTTAAGGTTCTTGCCTCTTTGAGACGAGGTAGCAAGGTAGTGCAAGCGCGGTGAATGGAAAAGTGCTAGACGAACATTGACATGTGTAATCATGACAGATGCGCTAGCGTGCTCGTTGCCCCACTTTAGCGCAGACAGTATGCCCGATGCAGGATGAAGGTGAAAGTCTGCAAGCGGAGTGACGAGTGAGGAATGATTGGACGGCGTTGGTGATGAGGTAGGCAGAGCTCAAGGCAGAGCTAAAGGTGGAGCGAAAGGTGGAGCACAGGCCAAAGCAGTCGCGTTGTGCAAGCCAACTAGCGCGTATCTTGAAGCTCCCAACCGCGACACTCTGTCGGACACTCGACACCGCGACGTCACCACTACTCGACCGCGACCGCGACCGCGACCAAGCCCAGCCACGGGTCCTGCAACGCGTTCCGAGGGCTCACGCGATTGACATCAGCCACGCATCATCTATTCCACTAATCACACGCGCAGCCACGCGACATGGCGCCTCGCAGTAGGCGCAGCGCGGCGGCCGCGACCGAAGTAGTCGAAGAGGAGGAGCAGGAGGTGGAGGTGGAGGTGGAGGCGGAGGCGGGGGTGGAAGAGGAAGAAGCGCAGGGCGAATCCGACGGCACCAAGAAATTGAGGTTCAAGCAGCCGCTGGTCGGACGGCCAGGAAGGCAAATCAGCGTGGGCGACCTCTTGACGCGGTTGAAGACGCTGCTGGACGAGCTGCGCACCATGGACCAGGAAGAGGCGCACCGCGACTCGCTCATGCCCGTCGCGCAGGAACTCGCGCACCAGAGTCTCCTCCAGCACAAGGACAATGGCGTGCGCGCGTGGGCCGTCTGCTGCGTCGTCGACATGCTCAGGCTGTTTGCGCCCGATGCGCCCTATCCCGCCTCCAAGCTCAAGGTACGCCGTGTCTGTGTATGCGACACGCGGGCCCCTACTGACGCGCGCAGGAAATCTTCTCCGTCATCATCAACAAGCTGATGCCACTGCTCGCCGATCCGACCCACCCCTACAACAGCCAGCACATGTACGTCCTGCGCTCGCTCGCCGAATGGAAGAGCATCCTCCTCATCAACGAAATCCCCGGCGCAGACCAGCTTACCTCAGCTCTGTTCACTGTCTGCTTCGACGTCCTGGCTGGCCCGGCCAAGAGCGACAGTGGCGAGGAACTCAGCAAAAGCGTCGAGCACAACATGACCGAAGTCCTGTCCACCGTCATCGAAGAAGCGCCTGCCGTCACGCATGATGTCGTCGATGTTATCGTCGCCCAGTTTCTGTGGGCGGACCCCATCACACTAGGGAGCTCAGCCAAAGCCAAGAAGGGCGTCCACGTAGATGCGAAGCAGTTGACGCTCCGTCGCAAAGACGCCCCTCCCGCATACAGCATGGCCAGAAATGTGTGCAATGCTTACCCCGAAAAGATGGCCCGCCTCATTGGCAACTACTTTAGTTCCGTCATTGTCGACTTCACGAATTCAGGCGCTTCCTTCAGGCGCACCCGCGCCGGCAGTGAAGATCCGGATCAAGCCTCTAGAGGCCCTTCCGAGGACGATATCCATGAGGCGAACAAGGCACACAGGCTCCTTCGCGAGCTGTGGAAGTGCTGTCCGGGAGTGCTACAGGAGATCATTCCACATTTGCAGGATGAGCTTGCCACAGAAAACGTGCAACTGCGACAATTGGCAACCGAGACGTTCGGTGACATGATCTCAGGTATCGGTGCAGCCGGCCCTCCACCAATGCCTGAGCTGGATCCCGCGGCATATCCTTCACAAAGCCTAACACATGCCGAGTCCACGCGACCGTACGACTTCCTCACCACCCCAGCTTCTATCAATTCATTTCCAACACAATACCCTGCTGCGTACCACTCTTTTCTGTTGCGGAAAAATGACAAGTCACCCATCATCCGTGCCTCATGGACTACTGGAATCGGCCGCATATTGATGACCTCCGCTGGTGGCATCGGTCTCGACCCGGAAGAGGAGCAGAAGCTACTAAAGTCATTTGCAGAATGCCTGATTGACAGCGATGACAAAGTGCGTCTTGCTGCAGTCAAGGCAGTCGAGCATTTCGACTTCACTGACATGATTCGCAAACTGGGCAGCAACGGTAGCATGTCTGAATCAGGCTCAATATTGTCCAATCTTGCAGATAGAGTGAAAGACAAAAAAAGTGTCATCCACTCAGAGACAATGAAGCTGCTTGGGAAAATCTGGGGTGTGGCTGCTGGCGCTATTGCCGAGGGCGACGACATTATCAAGAATCTGTTTGGGCCGATACCGACGCGCATACTCGAGGCATGTTACGTCAATGACCTAGAAATCAATGTGCAGGTTGACCTGGCGCTCTATGAGTCCTTGTTACCACTCGCATATCCTCCGATAAAGCCAAAGCCAGGCGGGACCGCGAATTCGCAAATAGTAAAGGACAGTCAGACCACGGGAGAACAGTCCTACACTGAGGCAGATCTGGACAAAATCCGAGCCGAGAGACAGCTGGTGCTCGTCAACGGTTTGGAAGACAAGGCCAAAAAAGTATTCTTTGCGAAACAGGGCAATCAGGGTCCAGGCTCAAATTACATGGAGCATTTTCTGAAACTTTGTGAAGAGTACAACGGCGGTGTCATGGACAAAGGCGAGAAAGAAACGAAGAAGAAGCTCGAGGGGCTCATCGCCTATTATGCGCGGACGCTGCCGGATTCTGCACGTGTGACAGATGATCTGTGGAAGTTTGCGAAAGCTCATGATCGTCGTGCGTATACTTTGATGCGATTCTGTATGGATCCAGCAAGCGACTATCGACGAGTTTACCGATCAATCGTGAGTCTTGGCCTAGAACCAGCTTATTTTACCCCACTAACAATTTCTAGAAAGAGTTCCGGAAACGCATTGAAGATGGTCCTGGCATGCCAGTGCTAGAGACGCTGACGCCGCTTCTCTATCGTGTCAGCCTCCTGTGTTACAACAAGAGTCATGTACCTGCCATCATCGAGTTTACGAGGACGGATGACAAAGGCTTGGGCGCTACGGCACACGAGCTACTGAAGGAAATTTCGACGAAACATCCCAAAGTGTTCTCCACACACGTGAAAGATCTCTGCAAAACTCTCGAGAACGAGGCACCGACCGCGAAGACTCCAAACCCGCCCGGTGCTGTGGACGACTTGAAGGCATGCGCCGCTTTTGCCAAGAAATTCCCCACGGATATCCCAATGAACGCGAAAGATGGTCGGAAACTGGTTCAAGCATTCCTCAACTTTGCTTCCTACGGAACTCCTCCACAGGCTGCCAAGCATGCAATTACCATCATCACAAACAGCGACAACAAGAAAGAGCTACACTCAAAGGAGATACTCGCCAAGAGCATCAAGAACTTCGAATATGACAGCGAACACTGGCTGACCAAGCTAGCTGCACTCAGCCAACTCGTCTTACTGGCGCCATCGGAATGCGAGGACGACATGGACACTATCGTGGAAATTGCTATCCGCCAAGTGCTTCAGAAACCACACCACGTAACTGCCGAAAGCGAGGCCGAATGGATGGACACGCCTGACGAGGATATTCAAGGCCGCACCTGGGCAATCAAGATACTGGTCAACCGATTGCGCTCTCTGTCCAGCGAGGCGAGCTTCAATGAGGCGGCCCAGGACACTTACACTCTACTTAATCGGCTAGTAAAGAACAATGGTGAGGGGTCAGACGAAGACAGTACGCCGGCAGCGCACAAAACGCGTCAGCGACTTGCGGCAGCAAATTCACTTCTGAAGTTGTCCTGTAACAAGCGACTCGACAGTTTCCTAACACCCGCCGATTTCGTGCAGCTAGCTTTGGTTACACACGACCCATGTCCACAAGTTCGCAAGGGTTTCTCCGAGAAGCTGATGAAATATCTGGGTCAAGGCCGCTTACCATCTCGCTTTTATACTGTTCTCTTCTTTCTCGCCCATGAACCGGACAGGAACATAAAGAGCAGCACGATGACGTGGATTCGGTCGCGACGAGCTGCATTTGCCGCTCGAAAAGACACTGTGCTTGAAAGCGTCTTTGCGAGGCTCCTCAGTCTACTTGCTCACCACCCAGACTTCGATAAAGAGGACGAGGTGCTCAAGCTGATATCGGAGTACATTCTATACTACCTCAAGTGTGTTGCTACTGAAGATAACCTGTCCTTGATATTCCACGTTGCTCAGCGCGTCAAGGGTGTTGCAGATGGCATCGAGCCTTCTAGACAGGCTGACGAGAACCTGTACATCTTGTCAGATCTCGCCCAAGCACTCATTCGAGCATGGGAGGAGCAAAATGGCTGGACAATGCAATCGTGGCCCGGCAAGATGAAGCTGCCCTCAGGCATTTTTCGACCTTTAGAAAGCCACGAGCGAGCACAAGAGATTGCCAAGAAGACATGGATCAGCGAAGATCTCGTTGACGAACTTGATCCACTCGTGCGCAAAGCCATTCGGAGTAAGAAGCGAAAGGCTACGGACGGAATGGAGAAGCCACGTAAGAAAGCGAAGGGCGATCGACCAGTCAAAGAGAAGAAGGTAAAAATGGATCGCCCAGTGAAGACGCCAAAGAAGAAGAGAAGAAGCGGCGAGGAAGAAGATGAAAGCGATGGTGGAGGTCAGGCAGCGCCGTCGAGTGGACCTAGGCGGAAAAGTGGTCGCCACAGTACTGCACACAAGAGCTACATTGAGGTTTCGACGGATGATGAGGACGCCGCGGCTGGTGCTCAGCAGGATGATGAAGAGGAAGAAAACGCCGAATCATCGGAAGCTGATGAAAACTCTTCGCCCGCTCCAGAAGATGTCGAGATGGCCGACGTGGATGATAAGGCGGCAGGTGAACCAGAAGTTGAGGCGCAAACATCCGATCTCTCCGAACAAGAAGCATCTCCCGAGCCGGAGCCAGAACCAAAGAAACCAACAAGAGGTCGGCCAGCAAAGAAAACGAATGGAGCTGCCCTACCAGCGGTGCAGAAGGGCAAAGCTGCCGAGCCCGTTAAGGAGGCCACCCCTGCGACATCAGTAAAGAAGGTGTCTAAGGTAGCTGCACCTGCAAAACCTACTAAGGTTGCGGTAAGAGCTAAGGTGAACGGCGCCGCAGCAGCATCTTCATCCAATCCTGCCATGAATGGTGCTGGAACGGTCCGACGGAGTGGTCGCAGCCGGGCTTGATTGCGTGCCATGTCCTCATTATCGACTTGCATGTAATGCTTCATGCAGCGTCGTAGCTTTTTGTTCCTCGGCTTTTCTCATCCTTCCTCTTTGCTTTCGCAGTCGGACGGGTACTTGCAATTATGACACCAACACACTAAGCACAATACCTGGATCTTTTCATTACTTGTATAGCGAAATGGACTTCGACTGGGAATGTGTCACGCGTAGCGTTTGTTGTACGAATTTCGTAGCGAATATGGATAGATCGGTGAACGGCAGCATGTGGGTGTAAGATAGCAAGCAGAATATTTAGATCCCAGTGCTGTTTCAATGATCAAACAAGTATCAACAGGTCTGTGTTCCCTTCCTTCGTGTAGCTCCATGCCCTTGGTTTAAAAGAGCACGAGACATGGGAGAAGGTATTTGATGACTTTCATACCAACCTTCCTTTCCAGGATAACTCCCCATCTGCAGCCAAGGACGGTGATCCGAAGAATACCCGGATACCCTGTCTCTCATTTTCTATTTCATGGCACGCCATTTGAGATTCTGCAGCGAAGTAGGGTGTAAGTTAATTGAAAATCATTCTCATCATCTCATCCTGTAATTGAGGCTGAGGCTTTGCAGCCGTGGCTTCGCAACTCAATTCTCGTATGTCGTTGTACAGGCCCCCACTCTTCGCTTCACAAACATCAGGTCCGCTGTGGAGAATCTCTGGGCACCTGCCAAATCCCTCTTGGCATAGACTATCTTTGCCCTGATTGACAGATGCAGAAGCGATGCCGGGAGAGCGACCCGTGACGTGGGTTCGTCGGGAAGGCGTTGCGGCAATGGAAATATGGTTTAAAGAGTCGTGATCAGTGCTTTCTTCCCTAACTTTCTACCGGGTTCATTCACTCATGATCAAGATGGCGAAATATCTCTACCTACTCACATGCAGTTTAGCTCTCGCAACGAGTGCAAGTGTGGTTTCTCGCCAGAACAACGAAACTTTGTACGTCGAGGCGATATCGGATTATGTCGATTCTATCTCCAATGACATTTGGAACATTAGCAAGACGATACATGATAATCCTGAATTGGGCTTCAAGGAATTTAAGGCACATGACCTACTCACTTCATTCATGGAAACGCAGGAGGGATGGACTATCACCAAGTCTCTATACAACATCAGCACTGCCTTCTCTGCTGTCTTTGAGGGCTCGGGAGATGGACCTATTGTGAGCTTCAACTCGGAATATGGTGGGTCAATCCTGTCAAACAAGTTAATATTTGTGTCGAATTACTGACATGTCACAAGATGCTCTACCCAACCTCGGACATGCTTGTGGACATAACCTCATCGCAACAGTTGGAGTCACTGGTGCACTTGCCACAGCCAATATCATGAAGGAGCATAACCTGCCCGGCAAGGTCATCCTTTTTGGAACTCCAGCAGAGGAAAGCTTGGGCGGTAAAGTCGATATGCTGGAGGCCGGCGTCTTTGAAGACTACGAAATCGACGTCAGTCTAATCGCTCATCCCACCAACGGCCCAGACACGCCCTATATGCGGACCTTCTCAACAAGCCGTCTAGATCTTGAGTACTACGGCAAAACCGCCCACGCTTCAGCCGCGCCGTATGAGGGCATCAACGCACAGGACGCGCTGGCCCTAGCCTACAACGCTATTAGCATGTTGCGACAACAATCTAAGCGTAGCGACCAAGTGCACGGCATCATCACATCCGGTGGACAATCCATCAACGTGATTCCCGAACTCTCCAGTGCTTCCTTCCAACTCCGTTCCAACGACGACGTCGACCTCGCGTCCTGGGAAAAGCGCATCCTCAAATGCTTCGACGCCGGCGCTCTCGCAACCGGTGCAACCCTCAACCTCACCATGCGCGAAAACAGCTACAGCGCCATGCTATCCAACACGCTTCTCGCCTCCTCGTTCGCAAAATACTTCACCTCGCTTGGTGGCGAGGTGCCGGACCCGCAACTCGATAGGATCAAGGAGCAAGGAGGGAGTACAGATCAAGGCAATATTAGCAAAATGTTCCCGAGCATTCAGCCTATGTTTCAGATTTACAATGAGAATGGGAGTGTGCCGGATGGTGGGCCGCATACGGCGGCGTTTGAGGTCGCGGCGGGCTCGAAGAAGAGTTTTGAAAAGGCGTTGATGACGGCGAAAGGTTTGGCGGGGGTGGCGGTAGATGTGCTGACTCTCGAGGGAATGTTGGATGCTGTTAAGCAGGAGCTTAAAGGGAATCCCATGCGAAGAGTCTAAAATCACACTACTATGTACCTAACTTAACCACAGCTTCCTTCCTCTCTTCAATCAAAGCAACAGACTTGTTGGTGCGATCAGTCGGGACACTAGACTCTGAAGCGTAGGGATCGAGCCTTATAAGTCTTTACCATCTCGACATTTGAAGGGTGATTACATTAAGTCGGTGAGTGAGAATTATTGGTAATCAGATTACATGGGGAGATGGTTGTTTTCTTGCGTTTTTTTTAACACTTCCGCATTTACTTTCACTTGCTGGGGATGGCAAGTGACATTAGGGCAAATCAAAAGCGGCGTAAACTTGTGTGAATACAGCAGGATAGTGCCTCGACATGCCTTGGGAAGAATCAGTTGGTTTCTAGGCTTGCGGACCATGTTTGTAATGAAAGCTCGTTGATTCCTACTCCAGTTGCATTTCTTCATAGGACGTCATGAGTGCGAGAGAACTTCTTGGCGAGCGTTTTCCTGTAGATACAGGAACATGATGTGGAAAAAGTATCTACGTAATGCTAATCGACGGCACTGCAATTAAGTCTGATCTCCTCAAGATGCTTCATTTTTGAGAGCAGTTGGAAATCACAATCCTCCGTAACATTTCGCACGCGCTTTAACATGTCGTCTCTCGACTCCCCAGCTGTTGGAACAATCGAAGGCCGCTTTTTACTCTGAACGTTATGTATATGAAGAGATTTAAATAAAGAAGATCGAACAGTCAGCAGCGTGGCTTTAAACGACCTATCGACTGCATTAATCCAAAATAGCCAAGAATCACACCAATCGCGCGTCTTCTTGTCATTTCTAAATTCCATTCGAAGCTTGAAGTAGGCTTTCATAGTTATGGCTCTGGCTTAGAGGCGTCAGGACTGCTCCACTCTTTCCATGCGTAATCTAAGCCAGGACGGACGATTGCTCATGCAAGCGCCCTTCCCAGACGTGAGCATCACCTGATACCTATATACCAGTGAAGATGACCTATCGCCTGAGTGTCATCGATCCTGAGGTTGCGTTTGGTGGTGGATATGTTGATTGTCAAGGGCACGTTGATGCAGTCAATAAAGTGTTGAACACTAGTAGTGGGCAATGCGCATAGACCTATGCAAATAGACTGCCAATTTATACATAAAGCTATGTGTATTGAGAACACACATAGCAAGAAAGTAGACCATGATCTAACCCGCTCTACATGGCCAATCGTTCCCGCTGACTTTCTACATTCCAATTGCACACAACGGACTTGTAAGACAACTTTAGCCTGAGACTAGTTCGAGCACTGTTATTAAAACGATGTGGCAAAGTGATTGAGTCCGGACAATACGAGTCCGGACAATACTTATCTTTTTGGTCGCCGCATGATGACCACCACGCTTCATTGCGCAAAATTCTGGACGAACTGTCAGTCATGATACCTTTGAGCAGGGGATAGTGGAACGAGATAGATTGGTTCAAATCGATGAACGTAATTGCGACAGCGAGTCGAGATGCGTAAATCTAACCTGGGTGCTCTAGAAATAGCGATCATGGCGATGCCAGAAGCCTTCGAACTTACTTGAGATTTCTTCAATGTCTCAATTATCCGTACCTGTCATCGTCGGCTCTTCAAACCTACGTTGTCATCATTATGATCGTCTTTGTTGCTGCAGACACGTCTCGATCGTCTCTCGCTCGTACTCTGTCGTCGCCGCCTCCGATATCGATCGTCTACCCTGCCAGCCGAAGCCAGTGGACCGCCGTACCGAATAGAGGAATTGATCTCGTCGTTCTTGCTGAGATGGCCGGTTCGTGAAAGGAGGATAATATAGTGGCCGGAAATATTGCTCTCTGATAACACAATGGGCCTGTATACTCGAAAAGAAACCTTTTTGCCTCCGCTGTTTTCGTATGTGCAATCCCTTTGTCAGAAGCTTGGGGCCCCCACCCCTGCTGACTCTGAGGATGCGACATGCTGACCACATTTTACAAGCTTTTTTGTGATTGCTTTGTTGATTTTTGGAAAGAAAAAGTCGTGCCTGTCGCGGCGAAAGTGTGGTGAAAGCGTGAAGGCAAGTCGCAATGGTGAGGATGTCTCAGATCCCAGCATTGACTAGATAGTCCTTGTCGATTCGTAATAAGTACCCGAGCTGTTGATCATTCATCATGGTGATATGGAGGGATGTCGGCTCATCTGACTGATAGAGCCTCGCATCTAGAGTCGCATATTCGTCAATCGACCGAGCCGCACCAAGAAGCAGAGCATCGAAGTTATCTTGTCTAGCTGGACGCTGATTGCCGAGCTGTTCGATGGATGTACCTTGCTGCATTGCCATTTCAATAAAAGCCATGGCGAATGCAATCCAGTGTTTGCTCTTCTTGGAATTGACCACGCCAGGAGGTCTTCGGAATTCGACGCTTCCATGGCCTGTGTCCTTGGCTGGCAAGAAGTTCCAAGCACGGCACTTATCCGGACACATATAGTTGACCAGTGTGTCACGATCGGCATTGTTGATGACATGCAGCGCCCTACGTAAGCCCTATGATGAGTTTGCATCGGCTAAACGGCGATGGCATGGTACTCCGGACCCAACGTTACTCTTGCAAAAGACCTGTGCTTGATCTTGGCGTGAAGCAGGCAGGCAGCGAGCAGTGTTCGTTTCCTAAACGACGACTGCTTTGACAAGGCGACGCAGTTGGCTCAGGGTTTATTTCTCGGCGACCGGTGACCCGTGGAGATGGAAGCCACAGGAGGCATCGCGACGAAAAGTGAAGTGGCTTTGCATAACAGACCAGAACTTGTCGACGGTGGAACGCCATTTTTCATTTGCAATAATGATCGGGGAAATGACTTCGACAGGGTCTGGATAGTGAGCGTCAGCATAAATTCACTTAGTCTTAAGATGCAAGGTATGTCATCGCATTCAAGGGAGAGGTGAGAGCTTGGAGATCCAACTTACAAAATCCATCCAGGATATGCTTCTTGGACACCCAACCGTCCAGAGTGGCATTCCAATGCGAATAGTCCCGTTTGTCATCGGAATTCTGATCATAAACGTCGCATAGCAGTCCTGAGTTTAAAAGGAGATTGGAGATAGCTTTCAGGACAGCCAGATTGAAGTTGCGTTGCTCACGTACACTGGCGTCAGATTCAGGGAGAGTGAGGTCGGAATCTAGCTCAGCAATAGCCTTGGGTCGGAGTATGAATTCAAACTCGACGCCAAACTTGAATGGCCGATGAGTTATGCTTGCAGACTCCGAAGAACTGACAGTGGTGGGGAAGGAGGAGGAGGACGACGACGAAGTGGTGGAAAGGGGGTTTGCGAGCGCGGGGGGCGCACTTGTCGTTGATGGAGGAAGCACAGGGCGCGTAAATGTTGAAGGAGATCTGCGTGTTGAAGACATTGTGATGAGAGTGGTGGAAATCTGATGTGGTTGTGTTCTGAAAGCGCTGTGTTTGGAATGAAGAATAGATTCCGGAACAAGAAGGTTGCCTTGTTTACCTCGTATCCATGGGGATGTCAAGCTAACAAGTACTTTCCTAGTTCCATAAAAATCTAGCAATGGCTATCAACTTTGTTGAAGCAGCAATCTCGCACCTTCCTGATAAGAATTCTGGCCTATAACAAAAGTCAGATCAATTTGGTTACAGAACGAGAGTCAAAACGATTGTAAAGATCATACTGGCATTCCTATAGCTAGTGATCCTGTGTGCTTGAACATACTGCAACTAGGCACATATGTGTGGGTCCTACAACCTCAGTCCAGCTCGGTTTCATCGCCTGCGAAACGGAACGTGCAGCCTTGAACACGCTTAGTGCCTGAGCCCCCGGTCACTTCGATAGCTACCCTCACTATTTCGTATTTAGCTGTCTCGTACATGCGCAAGGCGTCTTCTTGTTCTTGGAAAGAGACTTTGTAGGCCCATCCATCCACATGCGAACCAGGATTGTCAACCAAAGCCTTATACATCCCTCCCCAGGTCTGGAGCTTTCCTCCCTGTATATAGGCCGGGAGCAGTGCTGGTACGTCCCCAGGCGCTAAAGAGAACAAGTTGGCCAGGAACGAAGAATTTGCTAGCGTACCGTAGAAGAAGTACCAAACCGGATACTGGCTCTGCTTAGGGTAGTGCACGAAGGAAACAGCGCTTGTAGTCCGGTGTTGGGGTAGAGTCGTGTCCAGACCAAGAGTTGGACATGCGGAGAAGGGCGATAAAGCCTTGCCTGCTTTGTTTATAGGAGCAAATACAGGGGCAATGGCAGGATAGTTCTTCTCAAGCCAGCGCTTGATGTTGGGAACATCAAATCCGCTGATTTGGCAGAATTGTGCGACGCCATTATCGCTTTCGCCTTGGATAATTCTTGGTTGTGAGGGGAGGATAGCAGCAGATGCGAGTATTGCCGGAGTAAGTGGCTCGTCCATCTTCAAAAGGTAGTCCATATTGCATTGTGTTCGGATTGATCTTTGATCCGGCCTTTTGTTGTTTGTGCTTGACCGAATGAGACTGCTTATCTCAGAGGATAGTGCCATTGCGTATTTCGTGCCTCCATATAAGGTGGTGTCACCATCGAGCTCATAGAATGCGCTCATGGCCTCTTTATCCAGGTCGTCGAAATAGTCCATGCGTATGCTTTGGTCCGGATGCGAAAATGTAGATACGCAGAAAGAGAAAATTCGGCGTAGAACGAGATATTTATAGGTTGTTAGGGTCACATAAATAATGGCACCAGTAACGAACATGGTGCGAGTACCATGGTAGAGTTGGTACCTAGCGTCTTGTGACTACGCCGATGGATCGCGTAGCCTCTCGCGTATTGTAGACTCTTGTGCAACCATGGGCGCGACAACGTACTTTTCCAGTGGTAACAAGTGGAGGAAAGCTTTCAGTGCGAGTCTTATTAGATGCCCGTGAGACAGCTGCCTCACCTGTCTACTGATGTGATTCGATGCGTGTGAAATGATCTGGTACAGGCGGAAAATCTGCGATCAAGCCATCGTGGTCAATATAGTTCTCCTGCTGGAGAAAGCACGTAGCACACAGACGGTCATTGACAGCATATTTTCCCATCCAGGCTCTTCCTTGCGCACGGTAAAGAAGGGTCGCTATATTGAAGAAAGTGATCGACGGATTTACGCTCGCCAGGAAGGACTCATCAAAGGCGTATGGTGCTGCATCGTAGAATGAGTCTTCGTTGTCCGAATCTTCTGCATCGTCACTACCGATATACTTCCGATCATAGTAATCTCGAAGTACAGCATGAGTTGACGAGGAGGTGTGTTCAGAGGCCTCCTGACAGATGCAGTCCATTGCGTGTTGTGTCCGCACGCATTCGGAAACGGCAATCCAGTGGGGTGCGACAAGACCTTCTGGAAAAGCTCTGTAGTCACTACAACATCGAATACATGCAGAGTCCTCGGGACTTTCCGTGATCTTTCTCGTGTCCGTGTGGGTATGCGACATCGCGTCGAGGAAATGCTGTCGGTTCCAGCCAAGTTGCTGCAAACACTTCTCGAATTCCATGTCCATCGATCTTTCCAACGTCTCTACGCAATCCAGCACTGCATAGCACCAAGCTGAATAGATGCTTGGGAGAGCTTGCATGTACTGCTTGTGCGTCATATAATCATGGGCCCAATCGAAGCCTCGTATCCGAAGAAAAGACCCTGCAGTCAAGGCCATTGGTAGCAAGACTTGCCCGCTGACTTTCAGCGCCAGTAGTGAGCTAATCGAATTGAAATGCTGCTGATTGAGTGCGTTATGGTCGGAATCCGAGAGATCCAGGATTCGCTGCAGAATGCGACTGTGTTGTGCATGGCAGATCACACTTCTTACAGCATGCTGCAGACCAATCCATGCAATGCGGGGTGTAAGGTCGACATACTGTTCGTTAGCAGTTGCGCCCAAGAGCCATGTGACACTGTTTTGTGAGATTGGAACCCTCTCCCGAGCAAAGGTTCTCTTCAACCATTCGTGAACTGTCCACCCATCACTAGTAGAGTCTGATATGTCGATACAGTCGGAGAAGAGCCGCAGCATGGAGATTCTAGCTTCGGTGTGTATGTCCTTGGCACACGCAACAAAAATGGAAATGGGAGATCTGAGCGAGTTAGGGTTCAAATCGTTTTGTGTCAGGGGATGTCAACTCACCGTATGGACGAGGAAGGTCCTTCGTACACGAGCGCTGTCTTGTCTGCGCCAGCTTTGATCAGCAAGGCACACAAATCTACATGGCCACTGGCTGCAGCGAACTACAGGCCAAATTAGCGCTGTGTATTGAATGTTTTACATAGGATGTGCTACGACTTACATGCAAAGGCTTCCATCCCTTTGGACTCGTATCCATCACACTCGCCAAGCCTTTACTGAAGAGTATCTCTACAGCCCGCGTCTGACCACTTCGACAAAGGTCGAAGATCAGAGAGTCTTCAGGCACAGCGTGAGTTATCGTCAATTTGCAGTTGAACACCCAGCTCCTCGCCGTAGAAGCCATGATGACTTCCAGGCCCTTCGCTATACCTATCAGCTGTAACCATCTCGATGGATAGAAGCTAAATGAAGTGATACATTGCAATCTTTGCTGCGCATCGCCGGAGCCATCTGGGACACTTATGATAGTCGTACGTATCCACACGCACCCGAGTATGGTACTGAATTTCAGCGCACGATGACGAACGCGGAAGCGCAGGCTCTCAGAATACACATATGTCCTAGATCGTATTGCTCCACTGTCGTCGACCATGTACGTGTCTTGTGCAAATATTTCCAGGGAGTCTGACTCAAAGGTGGCAATTGTAGTTTGTCCGATCGCATGGAGGAAGAGCTCCTTCATCTGCTGGGTAGCCAGCGTCTTTGGGGGAAAGCATCGCTCGAAACTGGTGAGCGCGTCATCGGTAGCTTTGTGCGCGGTCTCTGGCAGGTACCTGAGGTAATGCTGTTCTGAGTTCGGCACGCGGGCTTGATCCTGCGGAAGTCCGAGTAGGTGCTTGCCTGTCGAGAACGTGTTCTTCTGCGTTTGAGACTGTACAAAACTAGGGTTCGCCGATCAGCATAAAAGTAGACCCCGAAAGCAAATATGAAAGGGATTTTGACGAACCACTGATGTAATAATGCAAGCGTCAACGTTGATTTCGTCTCCGTAAGTGATTCCCGAAAACGTTGTATGTGCCCGCTACGAATAGCAGCTTTGAAAGCTGTCCATTTGCGTTGCTTCCAGGAGTTTGATTTGAAGCCTGCTTCACATTTTCCAACGATTGCTATCAATTCCTGGTTTATAAGAATTTGTTTATTCGGCATTCAACGATAAGACAGTAACTCACCACGATTCTGATGCGACAATACTGGATCCCTTCTAGTATACAGTCGCCCACATGGCCGTTGTTGGATTCGATTTCCCTGAAGATCGATATCAGGTACTGTAAATCTTCTCTGATAGCTGCTATCTCTTGTGGACCATCTTCGATAGACTCCCAGAACTTGTAAAGCTTGATACAAGACTCGGTGAGTTGAAGAGCGATAGAAACAACCGCTATGCCTGAGCTTGTTAGTATTTTTTGTAGTAGCTTTAGATAGGTAATACCGTTTGCTGCAATTGACAGTCCTTCCATGAGATTGCTTGACTTTGTTTGAACAATGTGCCAGTCAGGAACGCAGCCATGTCCCTGATTTATGACTGCAGAAGTCAATGAAACATGGGGAAATGGTAAATTGCGCCAAACAGTGCATCGGAACCGGGAGCAGGTCCTGATTTGGCATCCTTGCCCATGAGGCTTGCCAAGTTCTCAAACAGCCTCGAAAGCAGTCAGCAGTCAGCAGCATCCTGTGAAATCCTGACTCGCTTTGTAGCCTTGTAGCCACAAGCTTATTCGGCCCCCATCCTTCGGGATGTGGGTGGTCCAGATATCGTCTAGGAGGACTCAGCCCGGGTGCCAGGTTTCGGAGCAAGCTTCTTCGGCTCGATTGGGGGCCAAAGCCAATCGCCCTGCAGGCCAAGACCAGGAGGATGCTCTAGCGCGGGAGATTCGACAGGGTTCAGCATCATCTAACTACTACTATGCATACGTCCGTTCCTCACTGTGGTTGTTGTGAAGATTCGCGACATGCGAGTCGTCTTGGCCTGGTATAGGGGTTCAGGCATCCATGGTTCTTCCGACAAGGTTGTATTTGGCCCTTGTTTGGCATCAGACTTCAAGGAATCCTGCAAATTACGATGCTTTTTGGAGAACTCAAGTCGTTCATCGACCGCACATGGCGAAGCAGCTGCCAGTAACGGCGGACCGCCATGCGGCACGGCAAATGAGCACAAGATACGGAAAAGATTGCATTCCATAGGCTACGAGCTAGCATTGGGTTAAGGGCATCTGACTGGATCTGGAAGGGACAGAGCGTAGTAGTGGAAGAGCAGGTGTTTCTGGTGATCATGAACTTGCAATCTCCACTACAAGTAGACCATGCCTGTGCGCTCAACAGCATGTCTATATAAACGGTATCCATACACGGGTGCGCGCTCTATACGCCTTGTAATCGTTTCCGAAGAAGTCAATTAAGTGCTTCTCCTCGTCTGTCATCATTTTTCAGTAGTTGCGCACGTGTGGTTGGGGTTTGTTGGCTGCGACTTACGTGAGATCCTTCGACTAAAGAAGTACCATAGAACAGCCGCATAGCCTAGGAAACACACAGTATTACCGAGCATGACTTGTGTTCCGACGCCCCACCAGAAGAATCCAAAGTATGATGGGTGCCGAAAGTAAGTGTATAGACCTGTCGTCACCAGCTCATGGTCGTCATTCTTCTTGGATTGCACGGTGTGGTTGAAGTTAGTACCTGCTTGCACCATGGCAAGGCTTCGAACCGTCTGGCCGACTACAACCAATACAATACCAAATGCAAAGACTACCGGCGTGTGCATCTTTGCCTGCCAGCTTGGGAAAAAGTAGCTGGTCACGCATGTTTCGATGAAGGCCATGGTATGCGCCTGTCGATATTGATCGCCATTCGTCAAGAGGAACGATGCGACCCAGGCCTTGGGCGTGTTGTACGCAGCTGTGGTGTAGAATTCGAGGAAATGGAATATTGAGAGTGTGGAGAGGAAAAGCCACGGGCGCCAGAGGCGGCTCTCGTAGTATGCGAGGAAGGCAGCCATGACAAGACCAAGCACGAGCGCCATGCCCAGACAGAAGGCACGCACAGCGATGCCTGACAGAGAGCGCTTGCCATGTGGGAAGAAGTCGGTGGACAGGACATTGGGAGCTGGCGGCTGAGAGCCTCTGAGCTGGATCTTCGGGGATTCGCGTGCGCGGATCTCGGCGTCGAGTTCGGGAGTCCATTTCCCCGGCTCTGTGGGACGAATGGTGGGGAAGGAAATGTCCATTTCCGACGAAGCAGAACCGTTTGAAAAGGTCATGGTAGGGAGTCGGGAATGTAGAGGTTGCTAAATGCTCTAAAGATGTCAGGAAGAGGCGCTCAAGACATGTTAGAAACAATGGTGTAGGAAGATGCAAGTCGGCTACACGCTGGTCCAGCTCTTTCTTTGCGAGAACAAGCAACAATACTAAGTCGTGGGCCGAAGAAAGTCATCCCTTTAGCGTTGTTTGAGACGCGTTGGGAATCGCGATGTGTCCGGGCGGTGGAATGATCCGCCGCCGTCTTCCTCTGGCTTAGTCTCTGATGAGTCATCACATCTGAACTGCGGCCCGTGCCTAAGGCGCGAACACATGGCGCGATCGCGGGACTTGGGGATCATCAACAAGCAACCCATTCCAGTGAGACAGACGCAGCCTTGTGTCACCATGGCATTTTCAGAGAACAAGCAGCGCATGCTTCGCGGTGAGCTCTATCACGCATTCACTCCCGAGCTGAGTGGCCAGCGGAGACGCTGTGGTGTTGCCTGCGCGCAGTACAACAATGCCGGCAACGTGCCCCGTCGGAGGCTCATTGAGTTATTGCGGGAGTATGTATACTTTATTTGAGCTTGCTTCATTGTCTTACGGACCGCGCCTAGCGTTATGGACGACGATACGCCTCTGCCGCCTCCTGCAGCAACGCCCGAAGAGGACGACGAGCTCTTCAAAGACGACCCCTGGATTGGGCCGCCAATTGCCATGGACTATGGCTATAACGTAAAGATTGGCAAGGGTGTCTTTGTCAACTTCAATTCCGTGTTTCTGGATACTTGTCTGATTGCCATCGGCGACCGCACCATGGTCGGCCCAAATGTGAGCTTCTACTCAGCGATGCATCCTCTCGATCCTGCAATACGTGACGGGCTTCGTGGGCCTGAACTTGGCAAAGAGATTCACGTCCAAGAAGACTGCTGGATAGGTGGCAACGTTGTCATCTTGCCCGGAGTCACCATCGGAAGAGGGAGCACTGTTGGAGCTGGTAGCGTGGTGACCAAGGACGTCACCGAGTTCACGGTTGTGGCAGGCAACCCAGCAAAGATCATAAGGAAGATTGAAACGCAAATGGACCCTGCGCAGCGCAATGCTGGAGCAAGCGCATGAGCCCAAGTGCAGGGACACGGCACTGCTAAATCATCTCAGACGTCTCCCAAGAGCAGGTACAGCAGTCGGAGCCAATAGTAGCATCCGAATGTTGCGATTATGTTTTTAATCTTTGTGCTTGAGCTCGAGCACTCTGACATTGCCGAACCACCGAGAGCGCACGGCTATCACCACGACGACAATACGGTGTTCTGAGTGGATCAATTCGGCTGTCCATACCATGCACTCGAAGGTAACATGTCCACAGGTGGTGGACAGTGAAAAGCTAGTCGCTATATGACACGCTTGTTCCGCTTGGTCCAGGCGGCTCGTGATTCTTACAAGAACTAACGATCTCCGGTAAGCTTTACTGCCAAGCACAGACGAAACCACTTCCCAGACATGACCCAAAACATTGACATCGGGTTCCCAAACAATGTTGCCAAATACCGAACACAAATTTCCATGGAGGACCTTACAAGAAACGCCTAGTCTGATTGGCAATCGCGTCTTAGCTCCAATGCATGTCATGTTTCCACCAAAAATGATTCTTGTATCACGGCCTAAAGCGCTTCGAGACTGCACGATGAAGCGGCTTTACTACCTCAGGAAAGACACCATGGTGTCGCACCTCTCCGTTACAAACCTTAGCCCCGCATTCTTGTGATGCTGGGCTCATGTGCACCGTGCATGCGATGGTAGACTCACTTCATCCCCACATGCAGAGGCGTACATATAGCCAGGTCTCCACCACCGTTTACAAGATCATCGGACAGGTTCCTCATTCCTTGACAGACTAGCAAATTCCCAGCGTCCTCACTTTCCTTCACCTCTTTCTTTTACCAAACTTTAATACTACACTATCTCGGTTGATCCGGTCTTTCACTTCGCTTCATCATGAAGTACATTTTCATCGCCTCTCTGCTCTCTTGCGCAGTTCATGCTGCCCCCTTCGCTCAGCAGGGACAGCAGACTCAGCCTCAGCAAGCTCAGCAGGTTGGTCAACAGCAAGGGCAGCAACAGCAAGGAGCCACGCAGCAGCAGGGCACCCAAAATGCTCAGGGCGGTCAAAACGGTCAAAACGGTCAAAACGGCCGCCAGAACGGCCAGAACGGTCAAGCGAATGCGCCAGCCAACGGCCCTCAGACTGGAACTGGCGCCGGCGTCGCCAACGGACAGACCCCCACCGCTGCTGATCTGGCCACGGCCGTCGCGAACTGGATGGCAGATACCTCCATGGTCTCGAACTTCTTGAACACGGGTAAAAGCATCCAGAACAACGTTGCATTCAAGCAAGCTGCCACAGTGGCTTTCAACGCCGAGGTGGATGAGCTGAACCACAAGGCCATCATCGATGCCGCCAATGGCAACCAGCCCAACGTCATTGGTGCCAACAGCACCCTTGCTACTGGTGGTTCATTCCAGGATGTCGTGAACAAGCTCCAGATCATGTCCCAGCAGGGAATGGCCGCTGTTGCTAACATTGATCTGATCAACCAGAACCGCTGCGTCAATGGTACGTTCCCTTTAATTGCAAAACTTGTACAGAAAACTAACAAGGTGCCAGTTCTTCCCAACATTGATGCTTACATGGCTTCCACGGGGTCGTCTTCTCGGGCTGTTCGCCCGAACGTCTGTGACCAGACTGGTGTGGCAGGAGGTGTGCAAGGTATATTTGATTCATTCTATACCATTACAAAGATCCTCGCTGACCATGTCATCATAAGGTACTGGGCTCAACTCAGCAGGGTGCGCCCGCGGGCAGCCCAGCGGCTGCGTTCGCTGCCGCCCAGGCTCTTGCTTCTGGATCTGGGCAACGGAACTCGTACAGAATGGTGCTACTGGCAACGGTCAACAGGCCACACCTCAGCAGGGTCAACAACAGGGTCAACAACAGGGCGGCCAGGCTCAGCAGCAGACCACTCCCCAGACTCAAACCCCCGCTCAAGGACAGCAGGGCCAGCAACAGCAAGGACAGCAGCAGCAGGGACAGCAACAGACGGGCCAGACTCAGCAGCAGACTCCTCCCGCCCAGGCTCAGACTCCCACCCAGGGACAGCAACAGCAAGGACAACAGCAGCAGGGACAGCAACAGACGGGCCAGACTCAGCAGCAGACTCCTCCCGCCCAGGCTCAGACTCCCACCCAGGGACAGCAACAGCAAGGACAACAGCAGCAGGGACAGCAACAGACGGGCCAGACTCAGCAGCAGACTCCTCCCGCCCAGGCTCAGACTCCTACCCAGGGACAGCAAGGCCAGGCACAGACTCCTAGCCAAGGACAAGCCGCTCAGGGACAGACTTCTACTACTCAGCAACAAGGCCAACAGGGACAAGCTGGTTCTGCCACCCAGGGACAGGGGCAGGGCCAGGCTGCTCAGGGTCAGGCTGCTCAGGGTCAGACTTCTCAGGGTCAGACTTCTCAGACCAAGGGACAGGGTCAGACTTCTCAGACCAAGGGACAGGGCCAGACTTCTCAGACCAAGGGACAGGGCCAGACTGTGCCAGGGTCAGAAGGCTGGAGGTGCTGCGAACCAGTAAGCCTCTGAGTGCGGCATTTTGTGCTGGCCTACAAAGGATCGATGTTGTAAATATCATATCCCTACCTTTCGCTTTTGTAAATCTAATGAGTAAGTAAATATAAAATCAGGAGGGAGGGAGGGAAAGCTGGGGGCGCTCGCTGTAGTCAGGAATTGAATACTAGTCTGTCACTACTGATTCAGATCCTTAATCAAGATTGACATGAGGTGGATAGGTTTAGGTAGCGTGCATAGATGCGCTCCAGGGATTCGCGGCTAAGATTTGAGGTTTCGAAACCTCAAGGCAATCGTGTTTGCAAACTCAGGCATCGTGTTTCCGTTCGTCTCGGAGCTGCATGTTGCCGGCATTGTGCAACGTTTCGCGTGCGGCGCCGAGACTGAGCTTCGTTGAGGCTTGAAACGACACACAAGACACGATTTGGAACTTTGGCGTGGTGATGTTACGGCGGACTTGAGCAAGGCATTATCGACTAAGACTGGCCGTGTGCATGTACTAGACCGCGGAAGTGGCTGGCATGCATCTCACCTCAGCGCGTCGCGAAGTCGCGTGACACTCGGCAATTGACGTCGTCCTGCATGCAACTACAGTCACGGGTATGCGCAGAGTCAGTACTTCGGCGGCGTCGGCGGGATGCGTTGGCAGAGCGGTGACAGGCTCCTCCACAAGCTCAAGGATGCCAAGTTGCACGGTGCGTCGAGTCGCTGACGGCATTCGATTCAGCTAGGCAGACCCAAAACACCTTCTCAACACTAGCACTCTGGACTGGTTACAATGGCCGAGGCCGAGCGCGCTGGTGGAGGGCAGAGTGATATGGAGAAGGAATTGACCTGCTCGGTAAGTTGGAAGTCTTGTTGGTGTTGGATTTGGAGTTGGCGTGGTCCGAGTGGGGGCGGTCGGGGAGAGAGCCGCGGTCGCATCCCACTCTGCGGCCGGAGAATGCATGCCACGAGGTTGTAGATGGTGTTCTTTTCATGTTGACATCGTCTTTGTATGACGGCGCCTTTCACACGTCTGTGCGGCCCGAATGAGGATGCTGGGATGCGCCTGCTAATCGACACGACTGCAGATCTGCACCGACTTGCTCTACCAGCCGCTCACGCTTCTCGACTGCCTCCACACCTTCTGCGGCGCATGCCTGAAGGAATGGTTCGCCTTCCAGGCGTCTACTGCTACATCGATACACCCGTATACCTGCCCTTCGTGTCGCGCCTCGGTACGAACGACGCAACCAAACGCCTTTGTCACCACCCTGCTAGACAATTACGTGAGGTTGAATCCTGAGAGAGGGAAGAGTGACGAAGAGAAGGCAGCAGATAGAATCAAGTACAAGCCCGGAGAGAATGTTTTACCGAAGCTGCGACGCCGGGAGGAGCGCAGTGAGGACGACGAGCGCATGCTTGCTGAGGTGCAGGCCTTGAGTCTGCGAGAGGTGGGCATACCGAGTGGAAGTGGAAGCAGCAACAACGCTTTAGGCCCGCCACGTGATCGGCGAAGGCGTGAGAGAAGTCGCGACCAGAGCAGAGACTCCCGAAGAAGCCGCGACGGCAGACGCTCGCGGAGCCGCCAGTCGCCAGGAACATCTCCCACCCGCGTGATTCTGCCGCCACGAGCCATAGAACACCAGTCGAGCTTGCGCTCCTTGCTCAGCTCGTCCGAGATTGATTCGGAAGAGGTCGACGAAGACCTGGTACGCCAAGTGCTGGAGGAACTCGTCTCCGAGGGCGTCGACTTGAGCCAGATTGGGCCGTCGCAAGAGGAGGAAATCACAGAGCGCATCGCTGAAGCTGTGCGTCGGCGTCAGTCAGAGAGACATGCCGAGAGACAGCGCGAGCGGAGAGCGCGGAGAGAGCGCCTGGCGCGAGAAGGCTTGGCCAGCTCATCCGCAACCTCTTTGCCTCCACCGATGCGAAGTCCGCTGGCAAGGGAAGAGGATGCTGCACGTCGGAGACCGCATGGCCGATCAGAAAGTGGCACCTCAACCCCACAAGCCACTATTGGTCCGCCGATATCACGACCAGGACTCATTGATGCTGCTAATCGCTACCGCGACAGTTCTTCACGACAACCACGCTCTTCCAGTCAAGGGAGCTCTCGCTCGGCGAGGAGATTGGAACGACCGGCTGCCCTTTCTGTTTCAGCTAGACCGAGCTACAATGACGCTGAGCGACCTGCGACTTCAGACCCATCAACAGCGTCTAGCGGCCCTGCACCACGTCGTCGGCAGTCTGACCAAGGCCAGCGATCTGGAGTGGAAGCCAGACAGCAATTCCGTAACAGCCTTCAGACCTCCACATCGCCAGGCGCCAGTTCGCCTCGAGGTCTGGGTCTCAACATGCCTTCAAGTGACAGCCCAACGAGCTCTTTGGCAATAGTTGGCTCACCAGCGCACTCTCCACCAAGCTCAACTCCCGCCATCACCCCATTCCAGCCGCCCGGTCCACGTCGTACCACTGACCCGGCAGGTGGTCGGCAACGTCCGTCTTCAAATCACGGCACTCCGCCTTCGATCTCTGCTCCAGCCTTCCCGCGGTCTACCACTGACCCTGTGGCCAACGAGCCGCACTCGCGTCACACCTCACTAGTTGCAAGTGTGACTCCTGTGCTATACACTGAACCACAAATCTCCTGCAAGCATTGCGGCAAAGAACACATAGAACACGAGCTGCACCATCACTGCTCACATTGCGATGATGGGTCCTTTGATCTGTGTCATCGTTGCTATCGAGCTGGCAAAGGATGCAAACACTGGTTTGGCTTCGGCTGGGCCGCCTGGACACGATACGACCGCGATCGTCCCCAGAGCGGTTATCCTCCAGGCTACGAACAGCCTCATGTATTGACCGGACATCGGTACCGGACCCCCCTGACCCCGCTGACAGAGTCTTTGACACCGCCGCATGTGCTCATGAGCGAAGATGATCCCAAGGACCGGCTGGAAGACGGCGTGTTTTGCGATTCTTGCAAGTCATTTGCCATCGCTTGTTACTGGAAGTGCGACTACTGCAACGAAGGTGACTGGGGCTTTTGCAATGAATGCGTAAATCAGGGAAAGCATTGCACGCACCCTCTTCTCCCTCTCGCCCACCAACCTCGAAGCACCAACAACATGTCAACACCGTCGACCCCACGCTTGGAATCAGGTCTCTTCCCACCCGAAATCGAAGTGACCGCAAACACACCTCCCCGCACCCCAAAAGCTGCATCCTTTATCCGCGGCCCCGACTACGCTACCATAGCTAATCTCGTCTTCCGGCCCCTCAACTTCACCACTCTCTGCAACATCTGCAGATACTCCATCCCACCCTCAAACACGCGCTATCACTGTCTCAAATGTAACGCCGGCGACTACGACATCTGCATGGCATGCTACCACAAACTTAACGTCTCAGGCCGCATCGCCAAAGAAGACGGGATCAACGGCTGGCGCAAGTGTCTCCGTGGCCATAGGATGGTCGTCATCGGCTTCGAAGACCGCGATGGCGGCCAGCAGAGGATGGTCGTGCGCGACCTCGTCGGCGGGTACACGCTCAAAGAAGATGCTGATGACACAGCACGATCGCCGACATCAGGTAAACCCATGCGCGAGTGGAAGTGGCGCGATTACGAAGGTAACGTACACAATTACCGTGCGCCGCTTAATGCTGCGGTCCCTGCGCAGAAGTTCCCACCTGATGGAGGCGTTGGACTGAGGCTGAAGGCTAAGTGGAGTTATTGGCCGGATGAGGGCGTCAAGGATGAGTTGGCGTTCCCGAGGCATGCGGAGATTAGGGAAGCGGTGGCAATTAATAAAGACTGGTACTGGGGGGTGTATTGTGGGGGAACGGGTTTGTTACCGGCGAGCTTTGTTGCTGGGGTTTAAGGGAATGGGATAGATAGAACGGAGATAGATGAGGAATATAGTTTGATACCAAGAAAGGCCCATCAAGACTGGGTAACTCCGTTAGTGCTAATTTCCGTGAAGCACAGCACTCACTTGGGACGTTTTCCGCATTTGAGTAAGAATCCATTGATGGCTGCTTCAGGTTGAACAATGAAAAATTCTTACTTTACTCAAAGGTATCATTGCATAGCTTTCTTTCCAGGCGCTTGCTAACAGCAATCCGCGGCAGACTTGCCTTTCATGACTGCTCCTCATTCGTCAAGCGCCTAGCAAACAAAACATGCAGCAAATATCATACAAACAACTACCGCATCCACTTTTCCCCTCAATCCCCTCTCCATCCGTCAACCATTACATCGCTATCCAAAATGTCATTAACCCCGTCCCGGTCCCCGTCCCCGTCTCCAACGCCCTCCCCTCTCCCATCAGCCCTCTCTGCCCTTCACACCAGGATCGGCCCCAACATCACCCTCAGCCTCCCCAGCATAGACGGCCTCACAATCCGCCTAGACAGATGGAAAACCGACTACCTCGCGTATACCGTCCGCATCGGCGAATTCACACCCAAAAGCCTATACTCTACATACTCTGCCTGGGCGCACATCCAGCCCGGCGGCCTATCATCCCCCACCGTCCATGTCTACATCTACGACGAAGAGCACGAGGAGATTCCCGCGGAACCCGAACACCGGCGACCTTTTCAGATACACGAGTTATGGGAGGATATGGATCTGGACGACGAGTTCCAGCAGTGTGAGAATGTCGCGGATGTGGAGGCGTTGGTGGTGTGGTTTTTTGTTGTGGCGGGGGAAGAGGCCAAGGGGTGTTGTTGGGTAGAGCCGACTGTTGAGTATGAGGTGGTGAAGAGGTTGAAGGGGATTGGGAGGCGGTGGATGGAGGAGAAGAGCATGGTGCTCAAGGTTGATGTGAATGGTGATTAGGGGAAGGAGAAGGACGGGAGTGGCAGATCGTGAAGTCTTTTGGCCTAGTCGAGATATAAAACAGCATGAATGAGATTTCCTGTTCAACGCTTACTTCCAATTTGTATGCTTCATTTCGAATGCAGTGACGTTCTTAATGCTTTCATTTGACTGCACGGGCCACCCACAGTTTATAGATTGCCCGTTGACTTTGAGTAATGCTTCCCCAACCAGCTCTTGATGTTCCCAGCAACCTCTCCACTCGCTTCATACGGCGTCCAATGCGCCGCATCAATCATATTCGGTTGTTCCAGCTGCGGCAATAAGCCCGCCTGAATCGCCGGAATCATAGCTTCAGGTCGGCAAACAGCATCGTCTTTTCCTCCCATGTACAAGACAGGTACATTGACCTTATCCGCAGTCTGAGGAAGTTGCTTATCGCTCTCGTACTGGTGGTTCTCCGTGTTAGCCTTGTACCAGCACACGGCGCCCTCGAAACCGTCGCGTGTGAAGCGGTCGATGAATTCTTGTTTGAACTTTGGATCCCGGGCATATGGGCGGATTTCGAAGTCATCGCCGCCGTTGACGAGGTACTCACGCAAGGCGTTTGGAGTCGTGAAGAACTTCTTCATCGTTTCGGCGGTACCGTGCATGGCATTGTGCAAGCGATCCAGATGATTCTTGAGAATTTCTGGACCGTCGGGAGCAATGAGGAGGTACCAGTAGCTAAACAGCGGATTGCCAAAAATCTGCTGCATCATTGCGTTTGCACGGTCCAAGTCAAATGGTTGGCGGGTGGGAGGTTGGTATGCGACATTAAGCAGCACAAGACCCACGACACGGTCTGGATGGTGGTTGTAGAGGCGAGATGCGCAGACGGAGCCCCAGTCATGGCCAATGGAGATGACTTTACTGACTTCCTCGGTGTCGATGATTTCAATGAGGTCCTGCGTCATCAAGTTCCATTTGTAGGCGGCTGGATCTGTGGGCTTATCTGTGCCGTCATAGCCAAGAAGGTCAGGTATGATGACGGGATGTCCTGTGGGACGAAGCGAGGTTGCTACATTCTTCCACATTGTGGCGTGGTCGGGCCAGCCATGTGAGAAGAAGAGGGTTGGCAGGGACTTGTCGCCATCTGCGGTGTAGTAAGTGTACGTGTAGCCTCGAGAGGTCTTTAGTATCTTTTTGTTGAAAGCGTCCATTATGGATTGTGTTTTCTAGGTCTTTGCTAGATATGATGAAATACAGAAAGATGGATCAAGTGCATACAAACATCGATTCCTGATGTTGACACGAGGTTTAAGTAGTCGCTCTCTAGTTTAGCTCAACGGCCAGCGGAGGATAAGGCTCTACTGTGGTCCGACGAGACTAGTCGACGGTGGACCCTCTTTGCTGGGCATTGTTAGGACAAAGCGGGGCCTTGGGCACGTTTCCAATGGCTCTTGTACGTGAGAGGGCGATGTGCTCGGAGGATGGATACATTTGTAGATGTGTCCATGATTAATCGCGTAGATTCGTGCGAGCTGTGGGCCTGATGTCAAACGGGAACCGCGGCTGCATGTCGCCTCGGCATGTTGGCACGTCAGATATAGGGGACAGAGACGTTGGATTCGGCCGTAGAAAAGGTACTTCTTCGGACGCTTCGATGTCACCACTCTTGTTCGCAATGGATATCAACGCTGCAGATGTCTGCAGTAAACCCGCGCCTACGTCATGTTCGGTACCTTGTAGGAGTGCGTGCTGCGAAACCACGCAAGTAGAGTCAACATGAGCGCAGCAAACAAAATCTAGACCATCAAGGCGTCTGTGGAAAATAGTGGACGTTTGGAGTAACTCGGGCGATGTCACTGTGCTGATGCATATCGTAGTCCGCCCGAGCCAGTAGCCAATAGCCAACATGCATTGATGCCGAGGCCGAGTTGCGCACGTGTGTCACTCTCTCCGGCGGTCTACATCAGTAATCACCTTCATCATGGCCGGTACGCGTAGATCGACGCGTCAAACGACGTCGGCAGTCCCAAAGTACAATGAGAGCGATTCGTCTGAGGTTGAGAAGAAGGTGGTGAAGCGCAAGGGCACGCAAACGACGCGTCGCAAGCGTGTGCGGGAAGAGAAGGAGCATGACGAGGATAATAATGATGATGATGATGATGATGAAGACGAAGATGAAGAGTATGCTCAATGCAATCAGTCGCTGTCCCTCCAGCTAATGCGACTCGCACACACAGTTCACCGCCTCCAAAGAAAGCTGCAAAGCCCAAAGCCACCTCGACAGTAGCAAAGCCCAAAGCCACCTCGACAGTAGCAAAGCCTTCAAAGGCAATGCCACCTCCCGCCCCGGCTTCGGAAAGCAATCGCGATGCCAATGGCAACCAGGAAGTCTTCTGGCTGCTCAAAGCTGAGCCCCTCCCGCGCTACGAAAATGGCGTCAACGTCGCCTTCTCCATCGACGACCTCGCTGCCTGCACTGTGCCCGAGCCTTGGGGCGGCGTGCGCAACCCACAAGCCCGCAACAACATGCAAGCCATGCGCAAGGGCGATCTGGGCTTCTTCTACCACTCCAATGCCAAGCCCTCAGGTGTAGTCGGCATATTGCGAGTGGCCGAGGAAGCGAAAGTGGATGAGACGGCGTTTGACAAAAAGGACCCGTACTACGACGCAAAGAGCGACAGGGAGAAGCCCAAGTGGTATTGTGTAGGCGTCGACTTTGTCAAGAAGTTTGATGACGTGATTGACTTGGCCACGATCAAGAGTCATGCGGGCAGTGGAGGGAAGTTGGAAGGGATGCAGTTGGTCACCAACTCGAGATTGAGCGTGTGTAGGGTTAGAAAAGAGGAGTGGCATTTCATATTGGGACTGGCAGGGGAGAAAGATGCCACAACAGACGGGAAGACTGAAGGCGCAGAAGAAGACGAAGGTTGATGGGCACCATGTTCGTTCGACTATCCATCGTCGTCTCGCTTTTAGGCCGTAGTGCCTGTATCATTGACATATCCTTCTACCGGCCGCAATACCACCCAATACCAACCAACTCTAATAGCCCAGGGCCTCGATGATTGCAGCATCGTTCAAGAAACGACATCGCTCAATCAACCTCTGACCCACGGGTCCGCCAGCTGGGCTCATTCCCTCGTGCGGACCACCAATTGTCATGATGAACGGCCCATTGTTGGAGGCGTATGCCCCAGACCAATTATGCAACGTAGCGTGGAGCTTAACCTCTGGACTACCCGTGGCAAAGAACGTGCTCCAAGACCGGCTTGTCCGCTCCATAAGCTCATGGTCCTTTCGAGTCTCCTTGACTGGGAATCCAGCTTTGTCGTACGCCCGGAAACTATCGAACACGTACGCGAACTCGGAGGTATGGCCCGCGCCTAGACCGGAAACGTTGCTCATGGGGTCGAGGATCTGGTCCACAACAGTTTGGTTGAAGTTGTAGTGATACACTGGCTTCGAAAGCGTTTTTGCAACCGCAGCGCCGAGGTGTAGTGACGGACAAACCATCAAGACGTCCCTGAAGATGCGCGCAGAGCGGAAGAACTCTGCGCTGAGATTCGTGGCTGGTGCGAACTCCGAAATGGGATACATGCCCAACAAGTCATCGAGACTTGACTGATTCAGCCCTGGAAGGTAGGCGCGGATGAAGTCGTACGTATCACCGGCCGTGGCGATGCTCGTGTTGGTGTAAAAATTCAAGTCATCCTGAGTCCATCCGGCAATGAACGTCGCGTTTCCGATGCGGCCGTCGGCGATCAATTTACTTGGTGCATAAGGCAGAAAGTCGCCATCGATAGCGGGCAGCCAAACATCGCCAATGTTGTGCGCAATGTCGCTGGCATACGTGATTATGGCAGCTTCAAGCAGGGTATCGGTGTCCTTTGCGCGGAGACATGCAATCGTCTCTGGCGAGTGCACACTGGTCGAGTTGCAGCCCACGTAGTCGGTCAGCGCACTCATGGCATCGATGGTGAAATTTGCAGTGATACCTGGCTCGAGGGCTTGAGACTCTGCAATGCCTTGCTGGAAGGGAAGAGGCCTTGATCCACCGTATGCAAGGATTTGCATACCAACTGCGAGACCACCCGAGGACTGTCCAAAGATGGTGATCTTCTCTGGGTCTCCGCCAAAGGAAGCGATGTTATCCCGCACCCACTCGATAGCAAGGCGTTGGTCGCGGAGACCGGCATTTCCACTGCCTTCGCGTTTAAGTGTGTCCGATTGTGCGAAGCCAAAGAACCCCAAACGATAGTTGATCGAGACATGTATGATTGGTATCTCATTCTCGACTGACTGTTGTATCAAGCCAGCCGGCGCCGTCGTTGGTTCGTCCTTTGATCCATACCTAAATTTCAGTGCCGGAAATCAGTGAATGTCCCGCATGGGGTCCGAACATGTAAGGTCATTACCAAAAGCTACCGCCATGAAGATAAATCGCCACGGGCAATGGACCAGCGACGCCTCTCGGCCTGGCGATGTTCAGATTCAAGCAGTTCTCTGACACCTCTGTGACATTGACAAGTGCCAGAGGAGGCGACAACCGGCCCATCGGTTGCGGGCAGGCAGGACCTCGCTTGGTGGCATCGATCTTTTCACCTGGAGCGGGCATGTATGGGCGCGGTGGCTTGAATCGATTGGCATCGCCGGTGTCCTGAGCGTAGGGAATACCCATGAACATGTCGCTGTCTTGACATGCGACACCGACATACTCAACGGCATTCGAGCTCCTAACCACAAGACCGCGAGTTGACACAGTGGCAGCCGCAGCCAGGACGAGGACAATTTGAAGCTGCATATTGAAGCCGAACCAATTATCAGACTTTTAGAGTGGGAATGGGAGAGCGCATGCTTCAAGATATTTATTCTTCCAAATTGCGCTCGATGATTGTCATTCACTGCGAAAGATCACGTGCGTTGTGTATTCCCCAAGAGGCAGGTGGTGTAAACACCCCGGAGATCCTAATAAGGTCTATGACGAACCAAATGCACGAGCGGATCGACTAGTCTAGTACTCATGCATTAAAGCGTCTTTGCTAATGGCTGCAGGATCGCAAAGGATCCACACATGAGGAGATAAGAGGAGAGTATGAGGAAAGTGTCACCAGGTGCTGCATTGGTTCGGGCGCGCTGCTCTGAGCACTATAAGCACTTTCTAGGCGCAATTGAGTCAAGCTGTCTAATTTCAGGTTTGTTTCACTGCGTCGTTGCGTAATGATAAGTTGTCGAATCTACTCAAGCTCATATATAGAATGCCAGTTGCTCTCTAATAGTAAGCTGAGTCCGAACAGAGCGCGCAAAATTATTGCTGGAACCTGGAGGTGTATCCTTCGGGAAGACATTGCAGACAATTTTCTCTTGCGCGACACAACCAAATTTGTATCTGCATTACTACGGCCTCGGTGTTTGCATTGGCAGTCCGAATTGGGCCTTTTTCTGCGAAAGGGGAGTCATGGCTTACGTCATTCACCATTCTCCTTCCTCCTCTATCCTATGCCGGAACCTATCTCATGACTCCCGAGGTCATACTCGTCAGTAGTACGTCCACAAGGCGAACCTCCAGCGCTCTCTATAGCCTAGCACGCCCGCTCTGCAATTCTTTCGCGACCTCTCCAAACCGCTCGTAACAATCCTTCTCCGCGTCAAAATTCAAGAGCCATGCTTCTCTGGTCAGGTGTATCGCTTGCGGCGTCTTCGCAATCTCGTCCCAATTAGCTTTGTGCCACTTCTCCCTCGTCTTTACACCCGTTGCTTGCGCCTTGTGTACTCTTTCATATCGTATTTCCTCATACGCCCGGATGGCCAAAGGCACATCTTTCTTCCCAGTCATCTCCAAACACGCTGCTAGAACCACGCCATCCTCTATGGATTGACTGGCGCCCTGGATGGATGTCGGTAAGAACGGATGTGCCGCATCTCCAATCAACGCAATTCGACATTTTGGCGAAATAAATGTCGGCAATGGATCGCGATATACGAGCTTGTGGTCGATAAGCCTTGCGCCCTTTGGCGTTGACCTGACAATTTCCTGTACGATGGGCGCCCAACCTTCCACGTACTTGAGGCAATCCTCAACTCTCCCGGGGAACTGCCAACTTTCTTCGATGTTGCCATCGTCCTTATGGGTGAACACCCAATTGAACTCCTTCCCTCCCTTCAAAGACGACACAAGGAAGTGCAGATCCGGTCCGATGAACCCGGAATGTGAGTCGCCATCTACGAGATGCTTCAACAACGGTTTGTCCTTGATTGCATCGCCCGAGAACCATGATCTGTAAACTGCGTATCCTGAGCTCTTAGGCTTGTCGTCAAACCCCAGCACAATCTTGCGCCCACGCGACCTCACGCCTTCCGCGGCAATGACAACATCTGCAGTCAGCTCTTCGCCATTGACAATCACTCCGGATCTCTCGTCATTCTCAAAGTAGTCTGTGACTCTTTGTCCCAGCCTAATATCCATCCCCCTCGCGATCGCATGTGCATACATGATCCCGTACAGTTCGCCTCTGTGACCATTAATCCTAGGCCCCCAATTGTTCTCCTCTTGAAAACTCTGCCTCGTAACGAACTCGCCTTTCCAAGAATACAAGTCCAGCCAACTAGTCTGGCGCGCGACTTTCTGCATATCTTCAATGACGCCAGGCCAGCGCTCAAAGTTGCGCGCGCCATTGGGGTCGAAGGAGATAATGTCACCATAGCATGTGATTTCCTCTATTGATGAGGCTTTTTCAAGGATTATGGGTGTGTGGCCTTTGCGATCGCATTCTATGGCTGCTGCGATGCCAGCGAAACCGGCACCGACGATGATGACGATGATGCCGGATGGTGGGCGACGGGGGAACGAAGACATGGTGCGGAAGAATGAATGCGGTCTGGTAAAATGGGATGGGAGAAACAGATATGCGTCCCTCAAAGCTTACACATTTCATGCAGGGCGGGATGTGGGGTAGGGTAATATGTAGATGTGCCCCACATGAAGCTGCATGTTGTGCTGGCTTGAGGTGAGAAACATACTCAGTCACAGATTCGACCACATCATTCTTGCCAATTAGCCCAGCTAGTGAATCCAGAGCCTGGTTAGTTATATCAGTGCCATGCTATTGTCCATCAGTCCGCGTATTTAGAGTCTTCTTTCGTATGCAGTTACACAGCTTCCCGTGAGGACATGGACTATGTATTGGCTAGTAAAGTCAGGCGATGTGATGCGACAAACAACATCATGGAATATTGCACACATTGCATGAGTGGCTACTGTCTGCAAGTATCAACGTGTACTCCCGAATGTTCCATCATTTCATTACATTGGTGAAGAATAAGACCTATACAGTGCCCGGACGGACGGACAGATATACTTGAACTTAGCAGGTTTGCAAGGGAATTTATAGTTGAAAGCAACCATAAAACTCAAGAATTTGTACCCTTAAAGTGCATCGTGTTTCCAGATAGCGCAGCACAGCCTCCATCGACGATACGACTTTTGTAGCCATGTGAAGAATTCGCCCATTGAGGATATACTGTAGCTCCAGATACTTGATTCTTTCGATCCTTACTCAGCACTCGCAGCGCATCGCTTCGGCACGAGTGGACGCTCCTGACGCGCAGCGAAGGACCATGCCCCAGTGACCTCGGGAGCCGCGGGGCTTTTTCCCCTGCAGCTTTGACTATGAGCGACTGCCTATGCGGAATTTCTTTGTAATTGTGATATGTTCATCAACTATAGAGTCGTTTTCACATGGCAAAGCAGACGAGGACAAGGGAGCGAAGATCCAGGTGAGCCGTATGTGGCTAGAACATGGCCCAAGCGCCACATACATGAGCTTTCATCATGCGCTGCACATTTGCCCATCACGATAAGCTCGTCAACGAAATGCAATGCGAAGGGTGGTAGTGACAGGGTTAGGGCTAGTGACCCCATTGGGAATAGGTGGGACACATGATCCGCCTCAGCTGCCGGGCGCTTGCTGATGTGTCCAAGGTGTACGCCGAATATGGAAACGCCTCATTGAAGGTCATTGCGGTATTGTCTCCATCAAAGATCGAAGTCTCGATTTCGCCAAGCTTCCAAGCCAGATCGCTGCCCTTGTCCCTGAAGGAAGCAAAGAGCACGGGAAGTGGAATGCGAAAGAGTATGGCTTGAGCCCAACGGTATGTGAGTCGGCCAAACCATGACTGCCTCAGCTCACAGTTGTTAGGACGAACGGCGTATGGCTCGATTCGCACAATATGCCATGGTTGCATCAGAAGAAGCTCTGTTAGATGCTGGCTGGCTGCCGAAGAGGGATGAGGATTTCGAGGCCACGGTATGATATATATCTGTTCCTGGGCGACATGGCTAACCATCGAAAAGGGCGTATACATGGGCTCAGGGATTGGCAGCTTGGATGACGTCTACGACACTACGGTTGCGTTCGAAAAAGGAGCAAGTTACCCGGAATTACCATTCTTTTCTGTTCACTGACCATTCTCAGGGCTATCGCAAGGTCTCTCCGCTTTTCGTGCCCAGGCTGTTGATCAACCTTGCTGCAGGCCATGTTTCTATGCGGCATGGCTTCAAAGGCCCAAACCACGCGGCAACTACTGCCTGCACAACTGGTGCACATAGTATCGGTGATGCCGCTCGCCTGATCCAATTTGGCGACGCAGATGTCATGGTCGCTGGAGGCGCCGAGTCTTGTATACATCCGCTCGCCATCTCTGGATTTGCACGAGCAAGAAGTCTGGCCACAGACTGGAACGATTACCCAATCGAAGCGAGTCGACCATTCGACAAGGACAGAGCGGGGTTTGTTATTGGCGAGGGTGCTGGTGTTGTTGTACTTGAGGTCTGTCATCTAGAGTGTATCAATCCATGAGCTCACAAGCCTAGGAACTGGAGCATGCGAAACAAAGAGGCGCTAACATCTACGCCGAAGTGGCTGGCTATGGCCTGTCCAGCGATGCACACCATATGACAGCGCCTCGCGAAGATGGTCAAGGTCCACGCCTCGCTATGAAGCATGCACTTCGTCATGCGGGTCTAAAGCCTAGTGATGTCGATTATGTGAACGCACACGCTACCAGTACATCGTTAGGCGATGCTGCTGAGAACAGAGCGATCAAAGAGCTGCTGCTTGGCGAGAATGGGAAGTCAAAGACATCTGAAATCCATGTCAGTAGTACTAAGGGAGCTATTGGACACCTTCTGGGCGCTGCCGGAAGTGTTGAAGCAATATTCACTGTCCTCGCAATGCACAACGTAAGTAGTCTCTCGGTTGTTGGAGCGTTCGCACTAATCCTTGTAGAACACACTTCCGCCAACACTGAACCTACATAGCCCCGGTAGTCCTTCCGAGGATTTCGACTGTAACTATGTTGCTCTCGTTTCACAACAACACAAGACTAGTGTAGCGCTCTCGAACAGCTTTGGCTTCGGAGGCACGAATGCATCCCTTTGCTTTCGCAAAATGTAAAATGAAAAGCTCTGAGCATAGTGCCATTCAATATTAGCACGTAAGAAGCAGCGAAATTATGAGCAATGAATAGGATGAAGTGTGCAAAAGTGTTGTCATTGAGATGTGTATCTTCGGGCGGGGTAGCTTCGCGATAACAGCTGCCAGCCCCACCCTCCGCCATTTAATCCCACGTTATTTTGCTCGTGCTCCGTGCGACCCGTCATCTGTGTTCACCTTAGCTCGAAGCTGACTTTTGATCCATCTTCATGTTGTTTCTCGTCCTTGTTCTTTTCTCATCACAGCGGTGGTACGTATTCCGTGACCATGGCAAACTCCCAATCCCCATCTGCATCAATCATGGTCGATAATGATGCCATCAAACCTTCGTTCTTGCGCCAGGCCACGACGAAAGCCTCTCAATACCATTCGCGGGTGCCATACCTACAAAAACTCCCCTTTCCTGCAATCGCAATCATCCTGACGCTGATCATTGTCAATCTTCTTGTTTGGGCAGCTGTGGGTGTCGTGCTCGTAAGTCGCATCGCGATGTAGTATTGCTGTAAGCTAAGTTCTATGAGCAGCACTGGCACACTCCTCTTGTATCCACAGCGATTCTGTCCTACACCCTAGGGCTCCGCCATGCTCTTGATGCCGATCATATCTCTGCCATTGATCTGATGACAAGGCGCTTAATTGCCGCTGGTCAGCGTCCGGTCACAGTGGGCATGTTCTTCTCACTTGGCCACTCGACTATAGTCATCATCACTTCCTTGGTCGTAGCAGGGACTGCTGCAGCAGTGTCATCGAAATTCGACAACTTTGCGCGTGTAGGTGGTATCATCGGAACTTCGGTCTCCGCCGTTTTCCTACTTCTTCTAGGTATCATGAACGTTTACATTTTGTACAAACTGGTCGTACAAATGAAGAATATGATTGCAAGTGAGCCCGGATCCGAGCATGAACAATTCAAGATCCAAGGAGGGGGCTGCTTATTTCCGATATTGCAAAAATTGTTCAGGCTGATTGACAGGCCGTGGAAGATGTATCCGCTTGGGGTGAGAGATTACTACAACAAATGCTTTCAATGCCAGTTTGCTAATAGTCTGCATAGGTCATGTTCGGACTCGGCTTCGATACTTCATCCGAAATAGCGATTTTGGGCATCTCCTCGATCCAGGCCACAAAAGGAACATCGATATGGCTAATCCTCATCTTCCCGCTGCTATTCACAGCTGGCATGTGCCTGCTAGACACAACAGATGGCGCACTAATGATGAGCCTATACACGAGTACTCAGCTAGCGCGCGATCCGATCGCAATTTGCTACTACAACATCGTCCTAACCGTCATCACAGTCATCGTAGCAATCGTAATCGGCACGATACAGTTCCTCAATCTGATCTTGAACGTTGCGGAACCCCATGGAAAATTCTGGGATGGTGTTGAGAGACTGGGTGAAGCTTGGGATATTGTCGGTGAGTACAAACTTCCTTCGTACCTGAATTGTGTGCTGAAATAGTTAAGGTGGAGCAATTTGCGGCACATTTATCGTGTTTGGCGGATTAAGTGTCGTTCTGTATAAGCCATGGAGGCGACGCATCGATAAGAGGAGAGTTCGGGATGCGCATTTTGAACCCCTATCGCAAGACCCAAGCAATGCTCGTGCAGAAGAGGAAGAGATACAAGCACCATTCACGACAAGGCAGGTTGCTATCAAGGATCCGAATGTAAATATTGAGTCAGTAGAACAGACTGATGGCGCTGGGCCTGTCAGCGGAGAACGATAACTTCAATTAGAATGAAATACGGTCTCATCAGAGGGGACATGAGCATCGAAATATTAACCACTGTAAGCATTCCAAGTATGATCGTTTGAAACTGTGACCCAAAACATGCACTATTGACATTGAGTTCAGTCAATCTCCATTTTCAACCTCCTGTATATCAATCTCTCGCTCAGAGTGTGAGGCCTTTATTCCTCGCATCTTTATCAGACTGTGAGCCTATGTGCAACAAATATTTTGCTGCATCATAGAGCTTTCACAATGTGTCAGTGTTGCACACATCTTCCTTGCGACTCAAGACAGGAAGGACGCGCGCAGTGTAAGATGAAGAAATCTCGTTAACGCAAGAACTATATGTTGCGCTAACAGATTGTTTTCTGACCTAGCAAACACTAACTTTAAGATATCTCTGTTCTCCATAAGGGCGCTGAAAGTTCTGTTAAAGTAGTTATTTAGAAGGTGTCTTTGCACGTTTATTCTGTTAAGAATAAAAAGTATATTAATTACTTAGAAGCTTGCTCTAAGCAGACTTATATAATAATTTAAAGATAGTCTATATAAAGAATTAAATAGTAATATAGTTTATAAGAAAGTAAGCAAGCTATCTAACTAAGCAGGCTACTTAATACTACTAATACGCCTATATAGTAATAATATATAATCTCTAAATAATTATTAGAAAAACTAAAAATTTATAAAATATCTATTTCTATAGAGAGATAGTATAGGTACATTTGTACGTATACCTAGAAATTAGATAAGAGACTTAGTAGCGCTTATCTTTCTCTCTATATATTAGTTTAAATCTAGCTTCTCTTATCTCTTAATTTCTTCTATTTATATATTAGTAAATTATAAGTAGCTAAAGAAGTACTACTTATAAGCCTTTTATTAAGAGACTTTTTAGATATAAATCTAAGTTAACTAAGTTTTCTATATAATTTTATATCTATCTAAGTATAGTCTTTCTATAAAGAGGTAGAGCTAGTAGAGTTTATTATCTTTTAAATTTTTCTCTATTTAGTTAATTTTATACTTAGTATCTTAATATCTAATTTTCTATATATAACGTATCTAGAAAATGCAATTCTAGTTCTAATCTATTTCTATTTATACTATAGAGTTAACTATATTACTAGCAAGTTAATTGCTTTAAGAAACTTATATTTATTATTAAATATACTTTAAAATAAAACTTTATTAAGATAGTTTATACTATTAAATTTATTAGAACTATTAACGTAATAGTCTAGCATGTAACTTTAATATCTTTAACTATTAGATTTTCTTTCTATCTACTCTATCTTTCTATCTATGCTATTAAAGTTTACTTCTTTAATCTACTTTCCTTAGTATCTTACTATATAATAACTTCTTTTAATATAGTTTATAAGTAAGTACTCTATCTAAGTAAGCGCTCTGCATAATACTAGTAGAGTATCTTTATAATAATACTATATAATATCTTAATAACGCCTTTCTCTACAGAGTTATACTAAAGCTAATATTAACTTTTTACTATCTAATATTTTAAGATATAAGATTTAAAGCTTATTAACGTAAAGTACTACTAAGCTAGCTACTCTACTAAGCTAGCTACTTTTTCTTAGCATTACGGTTTCCTCTACAACTCTACGAGTTTTAGACTGTTTTAGGATATTATTTGATATTAAGAAAGCCTAGAATTAGGGCTTTAAAATGCTATAATAATTGCCTAATTAGGCCTAGTATTACTAGAGTTAGAGCTAAGTAAAGTAATATAGCTTGCTTAGCTTTAAACTCTAGTAACTTATAGTATATAGCTATAAATTTATCTATAACTCTTAATATAGAATTAATAGACTATAAATTAATAAATTCTAAAGTTTTAGAGTTTTCTATATGCTAGTTCTAGAGATATAAAGCTAGATATCTCTTAGAGCTTAAAAAAGAATATTCTATTTAATAACTAAGCTAAAGTAAACTATATTTAGCTTAAACTTCTAGAATAGAGACTATATATATAGAGATTACATATACTAAAGTTTTAAGTTATAAGATTAAGTATAGAAGTAGTTATAGATTTTTTTTTAAGATAGAAGAAAATACTAAGAAAAAATACTTAACTAGATAACATATTTAACTACTAAGATAGCTAGACTACTAAGCTAGCTACTTTTTCTTAGTATCGCTAATACTATATATAAACTATAATACTATCTTAAAATAACTCTAACGTTATTATATAAAGAAGGCAGAATTAATCTTACTCTTTAGGCTTATAACTTAGGCTAATTTAAGAGCCTATAACGCGCTACTATAGCCTTTAGCATATAATATTAGCAGCTTTCTAATTAGCTTAAGAAAATTAAGTATTAAGCTTAAATATTACTAAACTATTAGAAACTCTCTTCTATAGAAGAGTAAACTATTATATAATATATCTTTAACTTAGATATATAAGAATTTACTCTTTAGCTTTATAAGATAGTAGATATAGCTAATAAGCTATTAGCTATATATAGTAGAATACTTATTAGTAAGAATTAGCCTAAGTAGTTTATATCTTATATAGAGAAGCTTAAGATAGCTTTTAATTAAGTAAAAGATTACTAGAAGATACTCTAAGAAGACTTAGAGATTATTAGCACTTAGTTTAAGCTTATATAAGAAATAAAAGCTAATTATAGTATTCTAGATAATAATATCTATAACTTTAATAAAATAAGCTTCTAGATGAGCATTATTAGCTTAATAAAAGTAGTTATTAGCTTAGAGTATTATATAAAGCTAAATATAATCTAGCTAAGTAATTATAAGTAAGTTATAGTAATCTAGAGTATTTGCGCTACTAAGTATATAACTTTACTCTTTATTATCTATAAAGAACGTATCTATATTATTATAGTAGAGTATACTTAATACAAAAGTAGTTAATTAAGTTCTTAATCTCTAAACTACTTCTTTCTACCTTTATACTTTATCTAATATCTTATTAAGCTTAGGCTCTGCGCTAATATACGTTACTCTACTATATATCTCTTCTATCTATAAGAGCTTAGCTTCTTTAAGCTTACTTTTATAATCTACTCTTTACTTCTATATTTCTATAAGCTTAATGCTAGTATAGAACTAAGCCTAATAAACTCTAAACTATTAAACTTAATATAGTAGATTACTATTCTTCTATAATCTTCTCTTTGCTTTTGCGCTTCTATAAGCCCTAATACTAGTATAGAACTAAACCTTAATAAACTCTAACTTATTAAAACTAATATAGTAGATTACTATCTCTAAGTTTAATTACTCTATAGCTAAAAATAGAGTTACTTTGAGTAATAAGCTTTCTTCTTCTCTAATAGTAGAATCCCTATTATAGACAATAGCATATAAGACTTCTAGAGTAGCATAGACTATATAATACCTAATTATAGAGATAATATAGACTAAGTTCTATTAAGCGCTCTTACCTTTAGCTTTTTATTAGAGATAACTAAGATTATAATTACTAAGCTAATTGCTAGAGTAATATAGACTATACTCTGCCTAATGCCTTTACTATTAGCTTCTATTAGAGATAACTATAGTTATAATTATAGAGTTAATTACTAGAGTAATATAAACTATGCTCTACTTAATGCCTCTTTCTTTATAATAATAGTAAACTCTCTATAAGTCTCTTAATAGTTAATAGAGTCTATAGAGTAGATCTAAGAATAAGAAATCTAAACTATCTTCTTAAGTAAAGTAAGAATCTTCTTAGCTTCTACTAAGTACATCTAAATAGAAATTAGATTAATTTATATAAAGAACTTATATATATAATAAGTATTAGCCTTTCTAGTAGTCTTATAAGTCTTTACTAATATCTCTATTCTTTTAGTATGCTATAGTAGAAGCTTATTTTAGAAGATACTTATTATACTCTAATATCTGCTTTAAGTTTATAGCTCTAAGAGCTAAGATATACTATTTACTCTATAACTTTATATTAGTAAGCCTAGATTTAGAAAAGAATATATTAGATATATTTCTTCTACTTATCTTACTAAGTTTTATAGTAACTCTAATACTAAACTAAGCTTAATAGATATTTAGCAGGCTTATTATTAAGATTTTTCTCTTACTTATAATATAGATAGTAACGTAGCTATAAAGTAGAGCTAGTTAATAAGTAGTATACTAAGCTATAGTAAACGCTTCTTAGAATTATAAAATACTAAGCTTCTACTTTATTCTTTATCTTTTATACTTCTTACTTTACTATCTTCTTTCTTAGTCTTTCTCTTCTTCTAGTATCTTTCTATATACTATTAGAATTATAGCTTATATTAATTACTTCTATAAGTCTATCTCTACCCTATTCTAGCTATAGTAGTTATAAATTTAGTAGTAGTAGTAGTAGTAAGAGGCTTTCTTCTAGTAGCTAAGATTCTTAGCTTCTAATATTACTAACTAAGAAGCGTGCTCTACTTATAGTTTATATAGTACTTAAAGCTAATAAGTTTTTCTTCTTTCTTCTATTAAGATTAAGTTTATTAATATCTTTATAGTTACTTATCTTCTTAATTAGCTTCTTAGCGCTAACTTTGCTAATAATATTATTATTATTTTAGCTAATTTACTTAAGTAAAGCTAGATTCTTTCTTAGTTTCTTAATAATATTAAGCGCGCTTACTTATATTAGTATAATAATAATCTAACTAATGCTAATTACTCTTACTTTATTATCTATAGAGATCTTAATAATAATATGCTAACTCTCTTTTATTACTTTTACTATAAAGATTATTCTTATATTCTTAAGAGCTAAGCTCTCTTAGTATTTTCTACTTAATAAGACTTTAAGTAATTTTACTATTATACTATTAATTATAGTATTAAGAGTAGTAATATTATTAGCCTTAATAGCACTTATCTAGCTATCTTAGTACTCTATTATGCTAATAGTACTATATACTTCTTTTATTATAATAATATTAATAATAAGAACTAACATGTTTTATAACCTAAGTTGTTAACCT